AGAGCAGCAAAGAGGCTAGGTGGCTTGTTAATGAAGTTTGAGGGCCGTCAGTCTGAAAGAGGATGTCACATCCATGCTCTTTTAGAAAAATTATTTTTATACATCTCCTAAGCAGTTTTTACATGGTGCTGTGTGCTGGGCAGTGGGAGGAGGTATAAAAAGGAAGGGAAACTTGGATATAATATCTTACTTGTGCCCTTACCTGTAGGTATGGAGCAAAGAGGCTGGTTTAAGGCTTTAATCCAAACAACATTGAGATACCACCTCACCCCAGTTAGAATGGCTATAATCAAGAACTCTAATAACAACAGATGCTGGAGGGGATATGGACACAAGGGAACCTTACTGCATTGTTGGTGGGAGTGTAAACTGTTCAACCACTTTGGAAAGCAGTATGGAGGTTCCTCAAAAGACTCCACATAGAGCTCCCCTACGACCCAGCAATCCCACTTTTGGGCATTTGCCCAAAGGTTCACAAACAAGACCACACTAAAGCTACCAGCACGACTATGTTTATTGCAGCCTTACTTACCATAGCTAAGATATAGAACCAACCCAGATGCTCCTCAGTAGATGAATGGATCAAGAAATGGAATGGAATTCTATGCCTCCATCAGAAAGAATGACATTGCCCCATTTGTTAGGAAATGGAAAGACTTGGAAAAAATTATATGAAGTGAAGTAAGCCAGGCCCAAAGAAACATAGGTACCATAGTTTCCTTTATTTGCAATAACTAGTATATGTCTGAGTCAAGCAGAAAAGGTCAGATAAGTTGATGTTAGGAAAATGAACTCTAAGATATGTATTCAAATGTTTTTTTTTCTTTCATGGGATTGTTTCTAACACATTTATAAGATTATTTCTTTATTGCTTTGTATGTCTCTCCCCCATGGTATAACCCCTGCTTTCACTATATTTGATGTCGGTATAATTTGTGGAGGGGAAGGGAAAAAACAAATGGTTTAAATGGAATACAGGTGGACCCATTTTAACAATGAAATGTATAAGTCGTTATGTCGAAAACGAACTTTACAACTTTGGTGGGGGTAGGGGAGGAGGGTTGGTTGGGGAAGGGAGAGGAGGAGGATGCCAAGGGATGGGAAGGGGAAACAAAGGAGGAGGCTACAATGCTTGATAAGAAATGTACTCATTATCTTGTCCATGTAACTGTAACCCCTCTGTACAGTATTTTCACAATAAGAGGGAAAAAAAACAATGCTTTGTAAAGCAGCATGTACCCCCATTAACAGGAAGGAAGCTTGAAGGGATTGAATAATCTCCACCACCCGTGTGAAACATATGTGAGGAAAATGAAAAGGGAAGGAAGGGGGCAGAAGCGACCACAAGCCAGCAGAGATGACCAAGACTGTTCTGTGGACTTGACCTGGGGGTAGCCCTGCTCACCTCTCACCACCGCTGTGGGACTCCCGCAAAAGACCCCCACCCCCTCCGGCCCCAAGGAAAGATGTTTCTGGAGACCCTGTGAAGTTCAGCCAGTGCGCTTGGACTTGAACCTGGGGACGGCGCCCCGCGCCCCTTCCTGGCAGGGCACAGGGCACAGGTGGGCTCTGGGCCTGACAGTGCTCTGAGCCATGCCACCGGTGCCCCTCCCTCCTCCCTCCCCAGGCTCCTGCTTCTCCTGCCACCGGCCTGACCTTTACCCTGCCGGGCACCCCAGGAATCACGCCGATCCCCTTACATCTCTATTCCAGTCCACGCACATTTACCCCGCTGCCAGCACTAAGGGACAATCCCTATCACCCCCATGTGATAAACAAACAGAAAGGTTGGGGGAGTGGAGCGCAGCGTCTCCATATTATGTGCACAGGCCCACGAGGGCCAGTAGACCTCTGGGACTTCCGGTGAGCGCCTGTGTCCTCACTTCCGTTTCTCCACTGGCACCGGCCCAACTGCCTGGCCGCCACCCATTGTACCGCCCTCATCCGGGGCTCCGCTCGCCTTCCAGGACCGTTAGGGCCTTCATCTGTCCTCGTGGCAGGGGGAGGTCTCCCTCTGAAGGGCAGGCAGGTCACGCCAGGCCCCGGATCAGCGGGCTCCAGGGCCTAAAATGCTGGCTAGCTCCCAAGGCCACCTGTGGTCTCCTCCTCCATGCTTCTCGGCTTGCTGAGCCATGCCTGCCACCACCCAGGAACACGGCATCCTAGGCAGCCGGCAAGGGGGAGCCCGGGTTCGGAGAGACCACCACCGCCATGGGGCGTGGGATGTGGGGAGCTGTCTCCTGCGAGAGCCCCTTGTCTACAGGACAAAGATGGCCTGTGCACACATAGATGTGCACATCTGACGGAAGCTAGGAGGAGGGCATAGAATCAGAGGGAAACAGGGGAAAACATACAAGAGAGCAGCCCATCAGCTGCGCTGGACATGGATGAAAACGAACTAAGCAACTCAACGGCAGCGATGGGAGGGAGGGAATGAGAGGGAAAGAGCAACAGGTTATACTACTAAGCAAAAGGAAAGAAACGCACATATCACCCGCTGTGGAAGAAAGAGTTGTATTGGCACAGCTCATAGAATTTACAAACTTTATAGACCAAGATAATGACAGAAAAAAAGATTACATATATACATATATATATATATATATATATATATATATATATATATATATATATATATATGTATAAAGGAATGAGGGTTATGGATTGGGAATGGACATACTTGATCTGAGAAAATATGAAAACAAACTTTTCTGTTCCTGGTTTGCTACTAAAAGTAGAGTGTTAGCTTTTTGTGTTTCTCCTCTAACCGTACTGTCTTTTGTATGTAAAAATCCCTTTTGGCCTATGTTCAGTTGCTGATTCTCCAGTCCTTGTGCCTACTTGTCATGTCCATCAACATATATATTTATCTTGCCTTAACATTAAGTCAGGCCTCAGATAGGATCAGTTTTCAGTGTATTACAGTCTTGGGATGGGAACCAGCCTTGCATAATGGTAGAGGTAGACATAATGACAATGTAATTAACATATTAATCTTTATAATTTGGAACATGATTTTATTATGAATCGTAGTCATTACATGTCAAAGCAGTTACAAACATGTCATAGTGCCAGGGATCAAGCCCTTTTCCAAGACAAATGATGTTAGAAACCTCGAAATCAGACTCATAAACTAGCATTAATAATACAATCTTCACCTCATAGATTTATCAACAAATAGCAAAATAGGGGAAAGAAATATGGAAAGATTCTTCACAGTTCTGAAAAAAGAGCCAATCCCACAGGCATTTTGACATGAAACTTCCATCCCCTAGGTCTGTGAGATAAATTGTTAGCGTATGAGCTACTTGGCTCCTGAGAATTTACTACAGTCATAGAAAAGGTACACTACCCATTCCAGTAGGGCCTCATACACAGGCTATATGACAGCTTTCTAAGAGTTTTCCTCACTGCTCACTGAAATAGCAAGAAATTTTTCTTCTAACTGGGTTCTCATTCATTCACCTAACTTGGAAATGGGAAGAGTGGTACAGACTTAAGCTGCATTGCCCATCTTTTTGATGTAGCTCCCAGAAAAATCTAGCTTAATACCTGTGTGGCTTAATATGCATGTGTGTGTATATACATATATACACATATATGCATGTATCAGACCTTTCATTGTTGATACCCTCCAATGTAGGATCTGCTAGTTCATTTCTCTCCATGCTAAAAGATTAAATTATACTCAGTCAATCCCCATGTGAATTCAAATTGGCTAAAATTTACATAAAACTAGGAAGTTAGTAGAACTTGAAACTTATACATAGTTATATGAAAAGGAAGTATTTCTGTTTTTCCCTAGAAATGAGGTTTCTTGTGGAAATTAAATGGTGACATCTGCAAAAGAAAGGTCTTTTGCAAGGTTCAAGATTGTTTTTCCTGCCGTGCGCTGGTGGCTCACGCCTGTAATCCTAGCTACTCAGGAGGCTGAGATCTGAGGATCGCGGTTCAAAGCCAGCCCAGGCAGGAGAGACCATGAGACTCCTATCTCCAATAAACCACCAGAAAACCGGAAGTGGCGCTGTAGCTCAAGTGGTAGAGCACTTGCCTTGAGCTGAAGAGCTGAGGGACAGCGCCCAGGCCCAGAGTTCAAGCCCCACGACCGACAAAAAAAAAAAAAAAGTTGTTTTTCCTATTAAACCTAACCCAATATTTAATGCCCTATTGTTGTTTAAATTCAAGTCGCTTCATAAGAACTTAAACTTTATATGCCATCTAATTTTCTGCTTCCTATTGCCATTATTCCCTCCTTCCTTTCACTAATCATAGCTATCTTTTCTGCCTATCAGATAGGGACAAGGAACAGCATGTTAGAAGCAGACTCCCATGCAATGTGGTGTTTGGCCTTTCAGTGTAGCACAAACCTGAAGAATGAAGGTTTGTTCCTGGGTTCTTAGGTTCTTTTTTTGAAAGGGATGATCACCTGCTTTAGATCATTGTGTGATGCATGCACGCACTTTTACATCTAAGGATATTAGTTGCTAGTATATGAATTCAGCAAAGATCTTGAACAAATTTCTCTTGACATGCTCTATCATTTTCTTTTTAGTTTCAAAGCAGAAAATGATCACATACAGATACTGATTAGAGGGCTAGGAATGTGGCTTAGTGGTAGAGTGCTTGCCCATAGTGCATGAAGTTTGGGTTTGATGGGTTTGATTCCTCAGTGGCACATAAAAAGGAAAAGCCAGAAGTAGTGCTGTCGCTTAAGTGGTAGAGTGGTAGCCTTGAGTAAAAGAAGCTCAGGGACATTGGCTAGGCCCTAAGTTCGAGCCCCAGGACTGGCAAAAAGAAAAAGAAAAGGAAAAAAAGGAGCAGAGAATTGGCTTTAGTATTAGAGTGCCTGCCTAGTATGCATGAAGCACTGGGTTTAATTTCGTAGTACTATATAAACAGAAAAGGCTGGAAGTAGCACTGTGGCTCAAATGGTAGAGTGCTAGACTTGAGTAAAAGAAGCTCAGGAACAGCGCCCAGGCCCTGAGTTCAAGCCCCAGGACTATAAAAAAGAGTTAGCACCCAACGTCCCTAAAGAGGTTTACATTCAAAATAAGGCAGAGCTGGGCATTTGGTGGCTTATGCCTGGAATCCTACCAACTCAGTGAGATCTGAGGAATATGGCTTGATGGGAAGGATATCCCAGGGTTTCTGGACTCCAAAACTTAGAAAAGGCCAGAAGTAAACCTATGGCTCAAAGGGAAGAGCACTATCCTTGAGCAAAGCAAATTCAAGGTTAGTGTCCAACTGCTGAGCTCAAGCCCAAGACTGGAACAAAATGATTAAAAAGGCAGAGAGCTAGAGAATGAGTCTATATGCCAACAAATAGGGAAATGGTAAAAAAAAAAGAATTATAGAAAGATTCTTTTTCATAGTTGATAAAGAGCTAATGACAGAAATTTTGACATGAGACTTCTTACAACCTTAGGGTTGTAAGATAAATTGTGAACAATTTTGCTTGTAATAATCTGTTACTGCAGTCATACAAAACATATATTCCCCAATTCAAATAGCTATCTGATAGTTTTCTAGAAGTTTTCTTTGCTGCTTACTGAAATGGCATAGTCTGTCTTCTCATTCATTCATTCATTCACTTAACTTGAAAAAGGAAGGAATGTTACACACATAGCTGTAATGCTCAAACTTTTGATACAATTGCCAGAAAATCTGGCTGAATATGTGTATCTTTATGTACATGCATATATACACATAGGAATGCATTTCACCTTTCAGTGACATATTGCACTATATACTCTGTTGGCTTATCTTCCAGTGTAAGCTCTGTTGGTTTAGCTTCCAAGGTGATCTCTGTTGGCTTATCTTCCAGTGTAAGTTTTGTTGGCTTATCTTCCAGGGTAAGCTCTGTTGGCCCATCTCACCTTTCACTGATATCTTCATGTACATACTCAGTTGGCTTATCTTCCAGTGTAAGCTCTGTTGGCTTACCTTCCTGTGTAAGATCTGTTGAAGCATCTCACCTTTCAGTAATGTCTTCATGTAAGATCTTCTGGCTTACCTTCCAGTGTAAGCTCTGTTGGTGCATCTCACCTTTTGATATCTTCCAGTATAAGGTCTTCTGGATTATCCTCCACTGTGAGCTCTGTTGGCTTATCTTCCAATGTAAGCTCCTTTGGCTCATTTTTCTCTGTGCTAAAGGATTAAAATATACAGAGTCAAATACCAGGTAACTTTCACCAATGTTATGTACAATTTACCTAAAAGTAATAAGTTGGTTAGTTGTATGAAAGGGGGGCATTTCTGTATTTTCCTAGGAATGAGGCTTCTAAGGAATTTTTATACTAAACAAAGGTTTCATGCAAAATTTAATAATTGCTCTTTACTAGGCCAGGAGTCTGGCTCAAACTTGTAATCTTAGCCTCTCAGGAGGTTGAGATCTAAGGGGCACAGTTTCTACCAGTGTGGACAGAAAAGTCTATGTATCTTCAATTAACTAACAAAAAAGCTGGAAGTAAAGCTGTGGGTCAAGTTGTAGAATGCCAGATATAATCAGGGACATTGCTCATGCCTTGAGCTCAAGCCTAAGGATGGCACATTTAGAAAGAATATTTGTTTCCTAGTAAACCTGACAAAATGTTTAATGCCCTTTTGCTGTTTAACTAATTTTAAATTCAGTTCAACTTCACAAGAACTCAAACCTCACTTACCATCTAATTTTCTGCTTCCTATCTGCTCTATCCCCTCCTTACTGAAGTAATCATGGCTGCCTTTCCTGGCCTGTCAGATACAGATGAGGAACAGCAGGCTAGAAGCAGGACTCTCATCCTGTGTGATGGTGGGCCTTCAGGATTACTGAGTTCTGGAGAATGAAACACTGATCCAGAGTCAATGATCTCCATTCTCCTGAGATCTACAGAATAGTAGGACTGCCTGTTTCTGAAAGGAACTCACATCCCTTGGCTCTTTATGAGTTGCATACATGCACTTGGATACTCCAAGGATTGTGGCTTCCAGTCCTTGAATTCACAGCAGACCATGTCCAAGTCTCTTCTGACCTGCTCTATCATTTTTCTAAGTAGTTTCAAAACTGAAAATCATCAGGTGCACTTTTTGATAGGTCATCATGTATTCTGTCAACTGTTGTCATACTCCAAAATGGTTTACCCTGCAGATGACAAAAGAAGACAACTTACCCAATATTCAGGTTTTTATCATAATGGACCAAAATGTCACTGTGAACAAATGAAAAAGAGAAAATTAAGTTGCACTATGTAGCTGAAATCCCATTGTTTTTCTACAGTCATGACCACTGAAACCATGGCCTTGTGCAGGCTATACAAGTGCTCAGTCACTTGACCTAAATCTCCAGCTCTTCTGTCTCTACCACCACCTCTCTCAAGTACTGAGGTTTGAACTCAGAATCCTGCTTGCTAGATGCACATTTGGAGTCATGCTTTAGTCTCTGCTGGCTTATTCAGTGATCTCCTTGTTTGTGTTTTCAGCATAATCTGGGATGGATGGGCATGCCTCGGTCTCACATCTATTACCCTAGCTACTCAGAGGCTGAGAACAGAGGATAACAATCTGAAGCTACCCAAATATCTTGGGGAGTTCATTTGCAATTAACGAGCAAAATGCTGGCCTGAAAACAGGTTAAAGAGTTAACACATCAGAATAAGTACTGTAAGCTTATTTACCCCCACTTTGGGTTGACAGCCCTCTCCCTGGGTCCTCCATAAGCCAGGCCCTGCCATAGTTGTCTATTCCCATGGCCCTGGCCATGTCAGCAATGGAGTCTGGATACTAGTTTTAAATGTGGATCCTTGTGTTTTTGTTATTTGGACATCTCTGGCGACTCAGTTCCAGCTTCTAGCTGAGCCCTGTCATAGACCTGCTATGTCTCCCTCCCTGTGTTGCTGCAGTCAAGAGATGGGGCATGGAAGGTTGCAAGCTGGCTTGGTCCTCTATAAGCCTTAGGCTGCATTTTTTCCTGTGGAGGCTGCCAGAGGAGAGGTGAGGGTTTAGATGGCTGTGAGCCTGGTGTGGACATTTGGCTGGTCCTGGCAGTGTAAAAGGCTGTAAAATGCTCTTGTCTAAAATTGGCTAAGAGACAGTGTCAGGCCAGTTTCAGGTGACCCCCACCCAGCCTTCCTCCAACTGAGCGTATTCAAAAGGCCAATGGTAATATGCCTGGCTAAACAAACAAGCCCAAAAAATATGTCCCACCAAGTGCTTTGTTAAAAATCTTGTCTTAAATCTTTGTCATCTGCAAGAATATAAGACTGGCAGTAAAAAAAGATCTCTTGCCACTAAAAATTTGACAAAATGTACGTACAACTGATTTTCCTTTTTTTGCGTGCTTTAAAATCTGTGTCAGTGAGTGTGTGTATGTGTGAACATTTTTAAGATAAAACTCAGAATATGAAAAATATTTTGGGTAAATTAAGTTTAAAATTCAAAAAGGTCATGAGTTTGTACACTTACCAAAGATCTTAAAGAATTACTGTGTTGTTTTAAAGAGGAACTTTAATTAAAAGGCTTTCTAAAGATTTTTTAACTTAAAATTAGAAAATCTGGTATTTTTAAAATACATAAGGTTGTTTACACTGTAATCAAGTTATCTGGCTTACAAAGAAAGGCATCAGGAATTTGGGATTTATTTCCCTTGGCTCAAATTTAGAAATAATTATTAGAAATTTAAATGTAAAGGTTTGATTACCACTGCTAAAGAGTTTACCTGTTCTGTCTGTCTAAAACTGCTTGAACTCAGGGCCTGGGCATTGTCCCTGAGTTTCTTTTGCTCAAGGCCAGCACTCTACCATTTGAGCCACAGTGCCACTTTTGACTTTTTCCTTGTATGTGGTACTGAAGAATCGAACTCAGGGCTTCATGCATGGTAGTCAAGCATTCTACCACTAAGACGCATTCCCAGCCTAAATCAAATTCTTATTGCATGACAAGAATGTTGGCTTAAGCCCTTGATTTTCCTCACAATTCAACAACTTTTAAGACACATAAATGTATTTTATCATTTAAAAAGAAGGAAGAAGGTGAAAATTTCCTGTCTCATCCTTTTTCTTTTACTTGTGTAGATCCTTAGCCCCAAAGAAATAATCTCTCTCACCATTTTTCTAGGCTAGCCTGGAAAAATGTGTGACCCTATCTCCAAAACAACTAGAGCAGCTAGGTATTGGTGGCTTTTGCCTTTAGTCTTACCTGCTTGGGAGGTTGAGATTGAGAGGATCACAGTGTGAGCTAGCCCAGAGGGAAAACTGTCAACATGGTCATGGGTGCCTATCATCCCAGCAAGGATAAGAAGCCAGACACAGGCAGTCTTATTTCTTTGGAAGTAGGCAGCATCTTGGTAGTAGCTAAAGGACTCTGGTAAAACACTACTTTTTCCTACACTTCACTCTTCATGGTGATTCAGGTGGAGGGGGGGAGAGTTTCCAAGCTGCTCTTCAGGAAGCTTCTCTGTAGTACCTATTCCTGTGTTCCAAAACTGTTTTCAGTTTTTTTCTTTCCTGGCACCAGAGTTTGAACTCAGAGCCTTGAGCTTGCTCAGCTTGCGTCGCTGACACTCATCACTTGAGTCATGCCTCCAACACTACAGTCTCTGGATATGTTGTACAGGGAGACTCAGATTTTTCTGCCTGGGCTGGCTTCAAACTGATTCTCCAGAGCTCAGCCTCCTGACTAGCTAGGATTTTAGGTGTGAGCCTTACCAACACCCAGCTTGGAGTTGGCTTTTTAAAAACCTATGCACTGATTTCTCTTTTCTGCTGACCACCCATGCTGAATGCTAGCATAAGGCCTATCCTGTCAGGGGACTCAGTTATGTGACAGCAAATAAAGCATCTGTGATCAGATGTTTAAGGCAGGTGCTGGGGATGTGATGCTTAGAAGGAGGAGGGAAGAGGGAAAAGAAAGATTGGTGTGATTAGGAAAAAAAGGACTAGATGAGAAAATGATACAGGGACACTGCTGCTGAGAGAAGTGGGTCCAGAAAAGTATCTCAAGGGTTCACGGGTCTCCTCACCTCTAAAGGCTCCAACCCTGAAAGGCCTACCCTGAGCTGAGACTGGGAGCCATGAGAACAGAAGGCAAGGGGATGGAGCCCTACCCTCAAGTGGAAATAGGCAAAGGAAGAAGAGAGACACCTAAGAGTTGCTGACATGGCTACACATTGCCTGCCCAGTGGGCAGCTCCAGAGAGGAGTTCCTGTGTGGGGAAACTTAGATGGCTAGGAGTTATGACCATCTATGTACATAACCATGAGAAAAACTCAGAGTGGGAAGACTTGCCCTCAGGTCCTATCTCTCAATTCTACAGCACTTACCTTAAATTGAATAAATTACAATCTTTGTAATTTTGAGGTTCTTTCAGGTGGTAAATTCCAATTATGTATGTTTTTCATTTCAAAATATGGAATGTAATGACTTTGTGGTAAAACAACAGAAGCCTCGATTTTAGTGGATTTAAAGGATTAAAGTTAGTATCTTAATCTTTCTTTTTTAACATGACAAAAGCAGTTAAAAATTAAGCAAACATCGAGTTCCATTGCATAATTAATAGTCTTATGTATTTGCCTCATGACTAATTATCTACCATGGGAAAAAGCGCTGACCTGAGACCTGCAGGGAGGAACATGGAAGGAGCAAGTCCTGCCGATGTCTTGCTTATGACTGAAAGGACAACTACGGGGATAAAAATGCTTTGGTAGTAGCTGCTGTAATGAGTTAGAGGAAGGACTGTGGTTTAATGGATGGTTCCTCATCATGGGAGAGAGAGACCTCCACTAGGTGCAGTAGATAATTATAGGTCATTTCTGGATGTCTCTAAGAGCTAGAGTTTCTTCATCTGCCCTTTTCCCAAATTTGTTTTTGTAAGGAAACCCTGGAATTCTCTAAGTCTCACATTCCTCCTCTACAGAAAGTTGCTCACAAGGGCTTTCCTGGGACCTCTCTTTGAGGAACTGAAGAGTTCTGGCACTGTGCATTAACTATCACATCTTCAATTAGTACAAGCAATATGCTGGGTGTGGGAGGCCCATGGCTATAATCCTGGCTACTCAGGAGGCTGTGTGGGGACTGAAAAGTCTGGGAGAATCCATCTCTAATTAGCAAAAATTTGGGCTAGAGGTGTGGCTCAACTGGTAGAGTGCCAGTTATAAGCAGGGAAAGCCTACTGAGTACACGGTCGCTGAGTTCAAGCCCCAGTACTGGCAAAAAAGGAAAGGGCAGTGGTGAGAAAGTCTCCTGACAGCTTTTAACTCTCAGGTAGCAAGGGGAATGGCCACAGGAAAGGGCAGAATGTGGCAGTGTGTAAGAAGGATCTCTGAGCAGAGAAGACTTGGTTCTGCAGCCTCTCTACCCTGCATTGCTCTCCCAGTGACAGCAGAGCTGGGTAGGACATAAACCAAGGCCATGGAATAACTTCAGCAGGGCCACCAGGAAAATCCTTCACTCTGGCATTAGTGCTTAAAGTGCCTTTTTACTCATTGCATGCTTCACACAGCCTGGGTAGGTAAGCACCAACAGATATGGAACACTGACCAAGTCCAGGCCTTCGGCCCAGCCACCCAACCAAGCCCTGGCAGATCTTGTAAAGCAGAGGATCCATGAACAGCAGACCATTGTCCATTGCTTATTCTGATTGCTCTATGGAGTTCCAGTAGAAAGCCAATCCAGACCTGTCAGCCTGAGCCTCCCCAGTGCTCTTGGTGGTGTGTCTATTTCCATGGCTTTCTGTCAATCCACAAACATAGGAGGTGCAAAAGTTTTGTTTGTGTGCAAACCAGAAAAAAAATGTGGCAACTTGTAACTGTCAGAAATGTGGATGAGTCTTAACATGGAAAGAAACCTCAACTATAACCTTATTTCTAAAAGAAGGTTTTTAAAAATGAGAGATTGCTTCCCTTATCACTAGTATTGAAAAAGACTTTACTAAACCAGCTATTCTACCGCCTGGTTGCTTAAGCTTGCCATGTTGTCTGACTGGATTACTGCTGCTTGAATTTTAAATGTTGAGCCACAGCACAATTCTGTTACTGGGATTAAAGGGAGTAATACTGTGGAAGGGTCTTGAGAGCATGCTCCTTTAGAGGAGTCAGATTCAGGGCGGGGAAGGAAAAGCCTTTATGTGGTGGCTCTACTGGCTGTTGGAACCCTTTTTTTGGATATTGGTGGTAGGGAGACCAAGGGACAGAGAGATGTAGGCTGCCTGATGTATTTTCAGGCTGCTGGCTCGTGCCCATCTTCCATCCCACAGGGCTCTGAGCTCTGTCTGTGTCACTTTGGCATCCATATTTCCATTACAAAAGTCCACATTGGCAATTGGCAGACTTCCCTGACCATTGTGCTCCAAGTGGTCAATGTGTTGATTATAAGGTTGCTAAATTGGAATGGTCTGCCCCAAATACTTCCCTTATCTTTATGAATTCTTTGTAGAGTGTGTTTTCTGCATTGTAGGGGCTTGAGAATTGAGTCAACCTTGCCTGCATGATGTTTCTGTCAGTGAAAAACCATGCATGATGGTGGTCCTGTGAGATTTTATTGCCTAGTGACACCACAGCTGTGGCCATTTGTGGAAACACATCCTGATATTTGCACAATGATTGTAATCACCTAGTGACTTGGTTCTTAGAAGGTGGCCCTGTGAAGCAATAAAGCAAAACCATTCAAGTAAGGACATCATTCCAGTCATGTTAAAATAGAATTCTTTTTAAAGGCAATCACGGCCTTAAAATAGTGTGGCAGTAAGTAAGGTACTTAAAGTACCAATCTGTACTAACGAGAAAGTAATGATGACTGTGTGTTCATGGGGTTAGCCAGTGTTTGGAAAGGTGTCTTTCCCTTCTCAGTGTTACCAAGGCTTAGGTGAAGTTGGTTATGAGCAAAGGTAGTGAATTTTCAAATAAGAACTCTAGAGTATTCATTTTTGATGTTACACAAAAGCAGAAGTTAATGAGATTTATAATTGTTTCTCAAAGTCCTTTTGTCCTCCCTCGTCTGTGTGTCTGTAATCAAAGATGGTTTGTTACATAAGCCTCTTGTGTCATGTGTGGTATTGAGGTGAGGGGTAAGTTGTAAAACACCTCTCCCCTTTAGCTTTAAAACTTTCCTGACAGTCTGACATAGGAATAGTTTGTGAATCAAGCAATCTGTTTTCTGTTTTCAGAAATGACAAATAAACGACTTGTGTAAAAACATGGGAGTCCATAGGTATTGGAAGGATTACAATTTTTAGATAGCTTTAAGCTATGTCAGAGTTCTTTCAAGTGATCCCCACTGCTCTTCTGTATGCTGTGTTCTCAAATTAAATACAAGAGGGAGACTATGTGAAGTATATGCTTTCAAGAAGACATCAGTGAAGCTGGGCCTCGCTGACTCACACCTATAATCCTAGCCACTCAGGAGGCTAAGATCTAGATGATTGAGTTCAATGCCATCCAGGGCAGACAAATCCTCAAGCCTCTTATTCCAATTAACCATCAGAAATCTGGAAGTAGAAGTATGGTTCAAGTGGTAGAGCATCAGCCAGGAGTAAGATGCAGAGTTCAAGCCCTAATGCTAGCACACCACACCAAAACAAAACAAAACAAAATCATTAATGATACTTTTATATAAAATTTATTTAGTGGGTTTCTTTTTTTTTTAGTGGGTTTTTTTTCTTAATATATACCGAAATATAAAGTATCATGAATTTAGACATCGGTGGTGTGGTGCCTCAGATAGTGTGCCAAAATAGAATAGTTTATGTAACTACTCTTCGAAGTAGATCTCTACAGCAAAATCAGTGGGATAAAACCCACATATTTTTGGTTTATGAAGATTATCCAGTTCATTACGCCTCAGGTAAAGCCTAAGGATAGGAAGAAAATCCATTACCTTTTATTTTAGGGCTAACAGAAAAGTCATACAATACAACACTCTTGTTTAGAAAGAGACTTGCTCCTGCAACCAGAAACTAAGCTCCATTTGCTTTCCTTACTTGGCTAATTCCACCTCTTGGAGGTGACATAGATACCTTAATTTTCAGATGCAAACACATTGGTCCCAACATGCTTCCAAGGGAATTAGTTACATCCAGTTTGAACAAACTATGAAAATGTCTATAATTGGTAGAAATTACCCACAAATATATTAGGTATGTAATGAAACTCAGTAATAAAATACTGTTTTGTTTCTTTTGTGTCAATAAGGGTCTTGTGATATCACTTAGCCTTTTCTGCTCAAGCTAAATCTATCACATCAGGCTATTTCACTGGCTAATTGAAGAGTCTCACAGACTTTTCTGCCTGGGCTGGCTTCAAACTGTGATCCTCAGATCTCAGCCTCCTATGTAGCTAGGATCAGAGGCCAGTGAGACACCAGTGCCTGTCTGTATCTCTTATTTCTTTTGTTTTTTTACATTAATTTACTTTATTGTTATTATAAAGGTAATGTACAGAGGGATTACAATTACAGGAATCAGGTAATGATTACATTTCCTGTTGTACAATGTCTCTGTTCCCTCATTCTCTTCCCAGTCCCTTCCTCTCTCTACACCCACAAGTTGTATAATTCACTTTCATCTGTGTCCAGTGAGCTCCACTGCTGCCCTTTTTCACCCTTTATCCCTCAAGTTCTGTACTCTTCCCACTCCCTCCTTGAGGTATAGATGTGAATACACCATACAAAACCAAGAAAGAATCATCACAAATTGATTTTTTTAAAAAGAGAGCTCTTATTTCTATATCATGAAGTACTAGCGCTCTCTCTCTCTCGCTCTCTCTCTCTCTCTCTCTTTCTCACACACACACACACACACACACACACACACACACGAGTTTTATATAAATATGAAGAGGCATGTAGGCATTGTGTCTTTGTATTTCTATCCTAGGAGTATCTTCTTTTGGTCTCACTGTGTGTAAGTATCTAGAATCCTGATAACTTCCCATATCCCAGCGTATTTTAGATCTAATTCTATCTCTCTCTCAAGTGACAAAGCTGTGTATTTGTCTCAATAACAACCTCATAACTCTTAAAGGAGCTTTACAAAAGCAAGGCATGAAACGATACCAATTCCTACAGAAATGTCTATGAAATGAGGATAAAACATCCCCACCATCTCTCATGTGACCCTGGTGACATAAAGGACAAAGCTGTGCTTTACAACAACCACTTGGAGAAGGAGCAACGAGTAAAGGCCCCTCGCCCCAAGCCCTGCCTTTGTTAAGAATTTTGCTCATGAGTCAAAGTTTGTTCATATACATCTAGAAAACTTGGTGAACATTTTGTCATTAAATAGTTTACTCTTTCCCAAACCAAATTGTGTGTGAATCACAAGTGTGTAGAACTGGTGTTTTCTTGGTGCTGTCTTACTAGACTAGAGGTATTAAGCTCAGTTCAGACTTGAAGAGAAGATTAACATTGGATATAACAAATACTATCAGTTCACACACACACACACACACACACACACAAACGATGACACAAGGACAATCTCTTCAACTCTGGTCTTGAGTAGTGTTCACCACCTCAGGAAAAATACTCCTAAAAAGTGGAGAACTTGTAGGATCAGGAATGTGTTTCTAGATATGGTACTAGGTTCTTAAGAACAATGAACTTCTTTTTAGAAGCTCAGTTCTTAGAAAACGTTTTTAAATGGGAGTCTATAAAATTAATGGGTTTCAGACTAATTAATACTTATCGAGCCTCGCCATTTCTGTCCTAGATGTAAATGTGCCAGTGTTAGCTTGAGGCCATCTAAAGCCTTCCTCGATGGATCACACCTTCCTTCAGTATTACCATAGTACATCCACACCCACTCAGGACCTGGCATATTCCAGGAACTGAGCAAATGTAGACTTCCCTGGGAGGAACTGTTCATCACTAAGATCTGAGTAACTGCATTTTAACTTACACACCATCCCATGACTGGGGTTTTGAAATGGTTGCTCAAGGGGTTCTTTGTATTTGTGGTAAATGTACTTAGGACAGTGGGCAAAAAGACCTGCCACTGTAGTTTATACACAGATGTGGAAGATGAAGCTGTTTCTATTGGATTACATCATATCCTTACCGATTATTCTTTACTAACGAGGTGTGGAAGCACAAAAAGAAAGCACAGCTCTGGTAGTATTTTGGAAGGTTCTAAAAACATAGGGTTAAAGAAAAAGGTTATTTTCATAATAAAATGGATACCAAGAACTAATGATCCCAAGAGATTAAAATTACTCCCTTATTTCTTTATGTATTTATCAGCTGCAGCCTTCTATACAAAGTACTCAGGGACTTTAGGAGAACACTGTTTCAATTAAACTGTAAAGGGTCAAGCTTAGTGCAGTAAAATAGTAAAAAAATTTTTTTTGTTTGCTACTTCTCTCTTTCGCTGACCACCCATGCTGAATACCGGCAAAGGCCTGCCCTGGTCAGGATGCTTGGTTGTTTGGCAGTAACTAAAGCATTTGTGATCAGGTATTTAAGGCAGGTGCTGGGGATGTGATGCTTAGAGGAGGAGGGAAGAGGGAAAAGAAAGATTGGTGAGATGAGGAAAAAAGGACTAGATGAGAAAGTGATACAGGGACACTGCTGCTGAGAGGAGCATGAAGGAGAAATGGGTCTGGGAAAGAAGCAGTGTCAATGGTTCATGGTTCACCTCTAAAGGCTCCAACCCTGAAAGGCCTACCCTGAGCTGAGATTGGTAGCCATGAGAACAGAAGGCAAGAGGAGGGAGCTCTCCCCTCAAGTAGAAATGGGCAAAGGAAGAGAGAGACATCTAAGGCTTGCTATCATGGCTATGAATCGCCTGCCCAGTGGGTAGCTCCAGAGAGGAGTTCATGTGTGGGGAAACTTAAGAGAGCTAGGAGTTATGATGATCTATATACATAACCGCGAGCAAAACCCTCTCAAAGAATGGGAGCACTCGTCCTCAGGTCCCATCCTTCAATTCCAAAGCACTTACCGTGAAGCGAATGGACTACAATTCTTTCAATTTTAAGCTTTCTTTTTGGCGGTAAATTCCTGTGAAACACATTTTTTACAATTTTGAAATATTCCACATAACGATGCTGTAAGGCAACAGAAGTCCCAATTTTAGCGAGAATGCAAAGTTTAGAGTCAGTATCCTAATCTCTCTTTTTCAGCTTAAGAGCAGGAAGAAATTAAGCAAACATTTATTGTGTTCCATTATATAATTAATATTCTTTAATATTCTTATGTATTTACCTCATGACTAATTATCTACCATGGGAAAAAGCACTGACCTCAGACCTGCAGGGAGGAACATGGAAGAAGTAAGTCCTGCCTATGGCTTGCTAATGACAACTAAGGACAACTAAGGGGCTAATACTGCTATGGCAGAAGCTGCTGTAATGAGTTAAAGGAAGGACTGTGGTTTAATGGATGGTTCTTCATCAGGGGAGAAAGAGACCTCCACTAGGTGCAGTAGATAATTATAGGTCATTTCTGGATGCCTCTGAGAGCTAGAGTTTCTTCATCTGCGCTTTTCCCAAATTTGTTTTTGTAAGGAAACCCTGGAATTCTCTAAGTCTCACATTCTTTCTCTAGGGAAAGTTGCTCACAGGGGCTTTCCTGGGACCTCTCTCTGAAGAACTGAAGAGTTCTGGCACTTTTTAGAAGCTCAGTTCTTAGAAAAACTTTTTAAAATGGGAGTCTATAAAATTAATGGTTTTCAGACTAATTAATACTTATCGGGCCTTGCCATTTCTGTCCTAGATGTAAATGTGCCAGTGTTAGCTTGAGGCCATCTAAAGCCTTCCTCGATGGATCACATCTTCCTTCAGTATTACCATAGTACATCCACACCCCCTCAGGACCTGGCATATTCCAGGAACTGAGCAAATGTAGACTTCCCTGGGAGGAACTGCTCATCACTAAGATCTGAGTAACTGCATTTTAACTTACACACCATCCCATGACTGGGGTTTTGAAATGGTTGCTCAAGGGGTTCTTTGTATTTGTGGTAAATGTACTTAGGACAGTGGGCAAAAAGACCTGCCACTGTAGTTTATACACAGACGTGGAAGATGAAGCTGTTTCTATTGGATTACATCAAATCCTTACCGATTATTCTTTACTAACGAGGTGTGGAAGCACAAAAAGAAAGCACAGCTCTGGTAGTATTTTGGAAGGTTCTAAAAACATAGGGTTAAAGAAAAAGGTTATTTTCATAATAAAATGGATACCAAGAACTAATGATCCCAAGAGATTAAAATTACTCCCTTATTTCTCCAAAAACTACAAGAGAGAAGAACAGTGACAGGTTAGGGGTTATGTATAGGGAAGTAGAGTGGGGATGGATAAGTAGAGACAGAATGCTCAGTGGAAACATCTATATAAAATTTCAAAGATACACTGTACTCTCAAGGTTCCTCAAAGGATAACTTTACAAATTCCAATCATGTTTCACCCTTTGTTTTATTAGTTGGTACTGCAGCTGGATGTCAGGCTAAGCAAGGGCTCTACCATCTGAGCTATGACCTAAGTTCTTTGGTGCTTTAGACATGTTTTCAGACGAGATCTTCATTTTAGGCTGGAAGTGACCTCAGATCACAATCTGATTTCTTATGCTGTTATAAGGAGTGGGGGAAACACACCAGTGAGCTCACATGTCAGGCTCATTGGTTTAGGAGAGGGTCTCAATAACTGTTCACAAAATGGCTTGTAATTGAGATTAATTGCAGGTTCCACTTTCCACATAGCTGGCATTAAAAGCATGGATGACAAGAACCACCTTCCTGATAGATAGGTCCTTAATTTTACTAGTGGTACTGCTGTTTGAACACAAGGTCTTTCATGTTCTTACACTCTATATATCTATATCACACATACCACCAGTCCTTGTTTGCTAGTATTGTTTGTGTCCAAGTATTTAGTTCAGGGTATAAGTATGTAAATATGTATGCATCTGTACATATATATGTATACAAACATATATATTTATACATAGGTATGTATATAATTGGCATAAACTTCTACATGTACACTTTTCTATCCATATATATATAAAACGGGTGTATTTGTATCTCACCTCTCACGACCCTTACAAATTTCGTATGGACATGGCCTATAGGGAAAAAAAAATACATAAAAGTCAGATATCACAGGACTTCCTAGAATTCACATTCTGGTACAAATTATTCTGCAGATCATACACTAGTGTAGTTTTATTTAAGTTTTACATATATCTGTTTCTCTTCTCACCCTTTATTTGGAACAAGGATAGCACTAAAGTTTCAGGTCATTAAAGAGGCATACTTGGTCATAAAATACTGACAATAACATGAACCACTTTTTCATAGAAATGAGTGTTATTGATTGGTAATGGACATATTTAGCCTGGGAGAATATAAAACTACTGAACACTTATGTTCTGTGTTTGCTACTAAACAAAAGCAGAGTGTGTTTCCCCATAAGTGCACAAATCTCTTCTACCCTATCTAAGTTCCTTATTGGCCAGTCCTTGTGCCCTCTTCTTATGTCCAGCATCATAAATACCTATCTGTCCTATTGCATGGTCAGGCTGAGGTAGGGTCTTGTATAGTGTCAGAGCTAGACAGAATGACTTCACATAGTGACAGAGTACTTTATTATAAGGGACACCTCTATGAGCTAGATCTTTTATGCACACGGTTCCGTTGTTCATTATCCTCTGTTTTTCTTTTTCTTTCTTGCAAACATGATTCCTCCTTTGATCCAATCCACCAGAGACTCAAAAGTAGGAAACCTGATATTTGCTAAAGGAATACATTACCAAAATGACCAACATAGTAGAAGCATACTTCTCATGACCTATTTCTTTCTTATCATCATTGATGTTATACTAACAGAAAATTATCCACAAATGTCTCGTGAAAGCACTTAGGACACCTTGTTAAAGAAAATAAGGGACTTTGGGGCTGGGAAGGTGGCTCAATGGTAGAGCGCTTGCCTTGCATGCTTGAGGCCCTGGGTTCAATTCCTCAGCACCACATAAGCAAAGGAAAAAAGCCGGAAGTGGTGCTGTGGCTCAAGTGGTAGAGCGCTAGCCTTGAGCTGAAGAGCTGAGGGACAGCGCCCAGGCCCAGAGTTCAGGCCCCACTACCAGACCCCCCCCCAAAAAAAAATAGAAAGAAAATAAGGGACTCTTTTCAGGGTGATTTCACACATCTTAACCCCTTTTTCCTTTCACTCCTAGTCTGAGTTGGGTTTTTTAAATTGGTTTCTTGTCTTTTCTTTTTCCTTCCATTCTCTCCTTTTCTTTCTTTTTTTCTTTTCTCTTTCCTTCCTTCCTTCCTTCCTTCCTTCCTTCCTTCCTTCCTTCCTTCCTTCCTTCCTTCCATCCATCCATCCTTTTCTTCCTTCCATCTTGGCTTCTTACTTCCTTCACTCCCTACTTCCTTCCTTATATCATTCTGTTTTGGGGGACAGCAATTGCTCTGGTTTGAATATAGATCCCTTATCTACTAGCCAGTTGCTCTAACACAGCATCACAGCTTTATTTTTGGTGCTAATCTAGGGAGTTTTTGATAAGGATTCCTGTTTGGATCAGGTCTAACACTAGATTAACATCTTCCTAAGATGTTTCCTAGTAGCTGAGATCTCAGGCCTGCAACACTCTTTTTTGTTCAATTATTTTAACATCTCTATGTCTGTGTTATGTGTATGTATGTTCCATCTCATACTGTCATATGTTTCATCTCTGACTGTCAAGAGACATGTATGTGTTGAGTATATAAACATATTTAATGGTCATATTGGTTTTGCACTCACTCATCAGTTAGGATTCCAAGGAGAGGTACTGGTAAAACTTCAGAAAGATCCACGCTAAGAGAAAATATATAGTTAGGCATGTCACAAAGTCTTAGCACATATTTTTAATCAAAGAACTAGCGACTCTAGACACGAACAGGTTGGGTTGTAGATACTCATGTTCATATTTCCATCTGTACATAGTTCATCATTTATTTACAACTGAATCTTTAGAAGATAATAATATATCCCAATGCCTGTGAAATTAGTAAACATTTCACCTTTTGAATAGTTCTCTCTAGTATTACCATAGACTGGCATGGGGAATTTATTTCACATTTCACTACAGGTTTTACATATGAGAACTCCACAGATATTAGCAATTCTAAGGTCAGTCTTTCATTTACTTTCATCTTCAAGTGCTTTTTACTGCCAGTCACATTGAGTGAGTCCATAGACCAGATAGGAAAAAGAGACAGGATTTAATCTATAACTGTAGAGACAGCCATAAAGCCATAAAGTTGAATGTGAAGGAACAAAGGACACATTAAAAAAACAAATAACATACGACTTGAGAAATACGTATTTAGTGAACAATAAGAGCCCTAACTCTATCTTAGTTACAGATTGTCTAAAGGATTAAACTAAAAAACCCTTGACCCAATGATACACTTCCTACTAGACATGTAATTTAACAGTAAAGTCTTAGAAAGACTGAAACTAAAGCAATAGGACTGCTTTACATTTCCTGAAAACATAAACCAGCAGCAATCATAAGTCACAGTATTTATACAAGAAAAAACAGCCTCTATCACAAAAAATCCCCTATATAATGATACAAAGAAAGACAGGACATTATTCAAAAAGTGTCAGTAGAAAATAATAATTTTAAATATACAGTCACTCACTGACAGACAATGCTACTATATAAAAACCAACATCATTCAATGTAAAAGTACATATCAACTCAAACACAATAAAAGTTGGCAGCATCAGTACCCACTGTTGCCAAAAAAAGGATCTTTCAGACAACAAATCAATCACAAAACATTATAGTATATTGAAAACCAAATTGACAAAAGATACTTAAAATATTTCATCTAAAGGGATGGGTTCAATCAAGTTGCATTGAATTCACTGAATGACTGCATTGAATGGATTGCAATTCTTTCATCTTTCTTCTGGAGTATTTTCCAGACTGTCTTTATCTGAAAAATCATTTTCCAATAAAGTACTAAAAGTTGAAATTATTTTCTATATCTTATTCACTAATGAAATGAAAGTATAAGGGCTGGGAATGTGGCTTAGTGGAGAGTGCTTGCCTAGTATGCAAGAGGCCCTGGGTTCAATTCCTCAGTAGCACATAAACAGAAAAAACTGGAAGTGGTGCTGTGGCTCAAGTTGTAGAGTGCTAGCCTTGAGCAAAGGAAGCTCAAAGACCATGCTCAGGCTCTGAGTTCAAGCCCCAGAAAAGTAGAAAACAAATACATTAAAAAATTTATAAGCACACATAATGTACATAATATTCATTTGAACTTTCAAAGGACTGATGAAATCATGAAGAAAATACAAACTTTCTCAGACTAATGAAAATGAAAACGTATTATTGTAAACACACTTCCATGTGGATCTTAAAGCAATACAAGCTGGTCTCAAAGTAATAATAGTCATGGCCTGAACAGGATATGCAAGAAGAATGGAGAGGGATATTACTATATAGAGATGTGTTTCTGAGAAGAAAGAATGACTCCTTCAAGAGCAAAGAAGAGTATCTATGCTAGAAAAAAATGAATTCAAAATTTTCTAAGTGCCATATGAAAATACTATTGAATAGTCTGGCAGAAACCAATTATAAATAAAATCACAGAAATGCCAATTATGTAAACTGATCACCTCAGTGTATTAAGTGTGTCAAACTCTTATACTACACACTACACAAATGGGTACCTACTACATGTCAATTCAAAAGATAAACATCTATTAAAGCTAAACTAGAAATGCCTAACATTTATGTAGTACAATGGTACAATACTGGGACCACAGGCCACAATGATAGCATAAAGAAACACAATGACATTCTGTACTACAATTCATCTCTCCATCAACTTCTCAAATTCATCACCTTTTTCGGTGTGTTGTTGTATGAGCCAGATTTCATATGTATGTATTGTAAGTGTATGTTCACGCATACACACACACACACACACACACACACACACATACATACACACTGGTATTTAAGATAACCATCCATCCATTTCACTGCATGTCTATTTTATGGACTCATTTATCTCTTACCTCTTGTTCAGTGCTGACAACTCAAGTGCCCATTCAGATGATGTCCTATGGGATTTAAAAAGAATATAGACTCAGATATCACATGATTGCTACACTTCACATCTGGTTCTACTTACTCTGCTACTTATATACTCTAATGGAAGTTCATCCCCATGGTTATCAGCTTTTTGAAATTTTACTACTTTTCAAGAGGTTAGTTTTTATTCATTAGCACATATTATTCAGGAAATAGTTCAATTCAAGCTTTCTGTTCTATATTTCACAAATATATTAAATAAAAATGTCACATTGCTATGGTTTTAGTTTCTTCCAGTTCAACTCAACGGCCTAGGTAAAAATCCCTTCTACTCTAGGCAATTCTCTGCTGCACAAGTCAATGCACACTCTTAAGTTTATGATCCTAAAAGTTTGTCTTGCTTTAACACAAAATAAAAATTGTATGTCTCTGTGAACAAAGTGTGCAGGATTTCAGTTGAAAACTAACTACCCATATGGAAAAGCTCTATGCTCCTCTTGGCTCCTCCTCCTCTAGGCTCCAAACAGGATCACCTCCTTTGGTCCAATCCATAAGAGATTCACAAATAGAAAACCTGGTATTTTCTAAAGGATTGCCTGATATTAGGAGTAACAAAACCACTGATTAAAAACAGATTACTTGGGCTGGGAAGGTGGCTCAGTGGTAGAGTGCTTGCCTTGCATGCATGAGGCCCTGGGTTCGATTCTCCAGCACCACATAAGCAAAAAGGAAAAAAGCCAGAAGTGGTGCTGTGGCTCAAGTGGTGAAGTGCTAGCCTTGAGCTGAAGAGCTGAGGGACAGCGCCCAGGCCTAGAGTTCAGGCCCACAACTGGACCCAAAAAACAAACAAACAAAAAAACCAGATTACTTTAATGACCTTTCCCTTTCTGACTCCATTTGATCAAAATATAGAGATCATCCACAATCTCTCAGTGAAACCTTTCAAAGACACACTGAAATCCCAAGTTTCTCTAGGAGACAACTTTACAAATTGCAATCTTGTTTCACCATTTTTTCATTACTTGGTACTATAGTTGGATGACAGTGTGTCCAGCCTGCTTACAAGACATGGGCTCAACCCCCGATTTATGGTCCTTTTGTACTTTGCCTGTGTTTTCAGATAGAGTCTCCTTTAAGGCCTGGAAGTGACCTCAGACCATATTCTGATTCCTATGCTGCTAGAAGGGGTGGAGGGCAATACAACACTAAGCTCAAAGGACAGATCCATTGTTTCAGATGAGGGTCTCAGTAACTGTTTACAATATGGCTTGTAAATGAGATTACTCCCAATTTCCAATTCCCACCCAGCTGGCATTAAAGGCATGTGCGACAAGCAAACCCTTCCTGAAAGACATGTCCTTAATATTTTTGAACTCTGGGCCCGGGCACTGTCCCTGAGCTTTTGTGCTCAACGCTAGTGCTCTATCACTTGGAGCCACAGTGCCACTACTGGTTTTCTGGTGGTTACTTGGTGATAAGGGTTTCACAGACTTTCCTGCCCAAGCTAGCTTTGAACCATCATCCTTAGATCTCACCTCCTGAGAGCCAGGATTACAGGTATGAGCCACTGGCTTCTGGTTGACATGTCCTTAATTTTACTAGTGGTACTGCTGTTTGAACACAGGGTCTTTCATGTTCTGACACACACTGCATTACACATACCACCAGTCCTTGCTTGTGATTTCTGTTTATGTCCAAGTATTCAGTTCCAGTCATATATTTATGAATACACATGTCCATATATACACACATAAACCTCTACATGTACACTTGTCTATCCATACACTTTATGGGTTTATTTGTATCTTACCTTCTGCCTTCAGGAAATGAACGTAACTCATAAGTAGATATACTATAGGAATTAAAAAGAATACGGTCAGTTATCACCTGACTTTCTAGAATTCATATTCTGATTTAAATTACTCCACAGGTCATACACCAGTGGACTTCAATTTTTTAAACCTATATTTTCCATTCTCTTCTCATCCTTTATTTGGAGCCTAAAATATCAGATCATTAAATAAATGTGCTTGCTCATAAAATACTGATAATAAACATGAACAAATTCTGAGAGTGAGTGGGTTTCCAGTTCACTGAGTTGGAAGAGATTCCTCTTCCAAGTACAAGATTCTCTCCAAAGGAGAAGAGAACCACATTACTCAGTGAGCCACAAAGTATTTGGGCTTCAACTCAGGGAAATGAATGTTGGTCAAACAATCATGTTCTTCATCACAGAAAATCAAATCCATCAAGTTTTCAACATCATTGTTGATAGCAGAGTACAAGTAACTACAGACTTACTCATTGATCTCTAAGATGATTACAGTGTCCTCCACTCATGTGGTGGGAAATCATCAGAGGGACTGGTGAAGCAAGGAGCCTTTCATGTGCTCCCACTCAGCAGTGCATTTATATTCTCCAGTAAATCAGTTATTCTGAAACTTGTGAACCACCTTCCCATAGAAGTGTTACTGAGTGGGAATGGACATATTTGGAATGGGAAAATATTAACCTACTGAACATTTTGTCCATGTTTGCTACTAAAAAAAGTAGAGTGTTAGCTTTTGATTTTTCCCCTGTGTGTTCTAAATTCAATCCCTCCTACCTATATAAGTTCCTGATTCTCCAGTCATTATGCCTGCTTCTTAGGTCCAGCATCATAAATGTCTATCTTGCTCTAACACAGGGTCAGGCCTAAAGTATGGTCTCTTTTAGGTATGTTACAGACTTGGGATGAGAACAAGCCTTGTAAAATGTCAGAGCTAGAGATAATAATATTTTGGACACTAGCTTCACACAGTGACAGGATTCTACATTAAAAGGGACACGTGCATGAGCTAGATCTTTTATGCACAGGGTTCTGTTGCTCACCATTATCTATTTCTCTTACTTTTTCATTTCTGTAAACAGGATTCTCTCCTTTGGCCCAATCCACTGAAGACTCAAAAGTAGGAAACCTGATACTTTCTAAAGGAATATGTTACTAAAATGACCAACACAGAAGAAGTATATGGGCTGGGAATGTGGCTTAGTGGTAGAGTGCTTGCCTAGCATGCATGAAGCCCTAGGTTCGATTCATTAGTACCACATAAACAGAATAGGCTGGAATGTGCTGTGGCTCAAGTGGTAGAGTGCTATCCTTGAGCAAAAGAAGCTCAGGGACAGTGCTCAGACCTTGAGTTCAAGCCCTAGGACGAGCAAAACAAAACCAAAAAGAAGTATACGTCTCATGACATATTGCTTTCTTATCCTCATTGATCTAATGATAATAAAGTCATCCACAAATCTCTCAGTGAAAGAATCTATACTCCTTGTCAGAGTGTGTATAATGTCCAGAGATTCTTGATGAACAATTCACACATCTCAACCTCCATTTTCCTTTTGCTCCCAGTTTTTAATTCCTTTCTTTTCTCTTCCTTCTTTCCTTCCAATTATTCATTCTTTCTTTCTTTTCCTTCCATTTTCCTTCTTTCTTTCCTACTGTCCCTTCTTTCCTGTTTTCCTTCTTTCTCTTTTTGGAGGCAGGGTGACTGTGGTCCCTTGTCTACTAGCCAGGTATGCTACAACAGCATCATTTCATCATTCTTAGGCATTGCTCAAGGAATGTTTTTCATAGGGTTTCCTTTTGGGGTCTGGTCTGGCAGCAGATCCCAATCTTTCCATGTTTTCTAATTCCTGAGATCTCAGACATGCACAACTATGGCTTTTGTTTTAGATACCTATATATGTATATTATGTGTGTGTGTCTATGTTTCAATTCATTCTATCTGACTCTCTAGAATCATGGATGTGTGTGCGTGTGTATTCAGTTGGCATATTGGTTTTGTTACTCACTTTTCACTTCCAATATGAGAAACTTCAGAAGGTTTCACACTAAGAAAAAATATATAGCAGATATAACACACATTTTACCACATTTATAGCTATAGATAATGCTTCTAGACATGAACTGGTTGGGCTTAAGCTACTCATGTTCATATTTGCATCTATTCTTTTCATATTTTAATAAAACTGTATATCTTTATAAGAAAACACATTTTCTACAGCCTGTGAAATCAGTAAACATTTCACACTTAGAATAGTTCTCTAGTGTTAACATAGATATTACCATTGGACATTGACTTCAAATGCCACTACATGTTGTACACATGAGAATTTCACAGACATTATCAATTCTAAAGTCATTCCATCATTTACTTTCATTCATCAAATGTTTTCACTGCCAATCACATAGGGTAAGTCCATAGACCAGCTAAGCAAAAGAGAAGAGACTCACTCATCAATACAGACAACCATAAAACCATAAAGATGAACAAAGGACACATGAAAAAAGATACAACAATGTGAGGAATATGTCTTCACTGAACAATCAGACCCCCAACTCCTATTCAGATGCAGATTGAAAAATAAGTTAAGTTTAAAAACCAATAATATACTTCCTACTAGACACATTTCACCAGTGAAGGCTTAAAGATCTGAAACTGAAGTAATGGAAGACTACTTTCTCTGCAAATGTAAACCAAACACAATCACGAGTAATCATGCTATATGAGAAAGAAATAGATTGTTTAGCCAAAAAAACTAGATAATGATACAAAGAAAGACAGCATATTATCCAAAATATCGTCAATTGGAAATAGTAACTGTCCTGCACTCACTGCAGGAAAATACTACTATAAAACTAACAACATTCATTATAAAAGGAAACATAGCCTCAAACAGCATAAAAGTTGGCAGCAGCTCTTCCTGTAAGCGCCCAGAGGTGACGTGTGAAAATGGCTTGCTACTCTCTAGACCCAGAAAACCCCACAAAATCATGCAAGCCAAGAGGTTCCAATCTTCATGTTCACTTTAAGAGAAACAGCACTTTAGAGAAACAGCACAGGCCATCAAGGGTATGCATATCTGAAAAGAGACTAAATATCTGACAGATGTCACGTTAAAGAAGCGTGTGCCATTCCGGCCTTACAATGGTGGAGTTGGCAGGTGTGCTCAGGCCAAACAGTGAGGCTGGAACAGGGTCAGTGGCCCAAAAAGAGTGCTGAATTTCTGCTGCAAATGCTTAAGAATTCAGAGAGTAATGCAGAACTGAAGGGTTTAGATGTAGACTCCCTGGTCATTGAACACATCCAGGTGAACAAAGCACCTAAGATGCGCCACTGAATTTACAGAGCCCATGGTAGGATTAACCCATCCATGAGCTCCCCCTGCCACATTGAGATGATCCTTACTGAGAAGGAGCAGATTGTTCCTAAACCAGAGGAGGAGGTTGCACAGAAGAAAAATGTATCCCAGAAGAAACTGAAGAAACAAAAACTTATGGCACGGAAATAAATTTAGCATAAAATAAACTCAAATAAATCGAAAAAAAAGTTGGCAGCATCAAAATCCACTGATAACAAGGAAGGATCACTCAGACAATAAATCAATCACAACATATTACAGTATACTGTAAGCCAAATTGGTCTAAGAGACTACAAAACATTCCATTTACACAGAAATGGAGACAAAAGGTGATCAAATGCAACAGTAATATTCACTAGACATTATGTTGAAAATGAATTATAACACCTGTGGGTGGAGACAGGAGGGAAAACCTGGGAGAGAGCAAAAGAAGGGGTAACATTGTCCAGAAAGAAATGTCCTCATTACCTGATCTATGAAGCTCTAACTCCTCTGTAGAACTCCCTTATAATAACAATTTTTAACAAAACATTTCACATAAATGGATGACATTGATCAAGATGCATTGTATTCATGAATGCGTTGGCTGAATGCTAACTACTTTGTACAGCTCTAACAAATGCACCTTGTTTATCTGGAGCAATCTCCAGGACAGATGGTACTTTATCCAACAAACCATTTTCCAACATACTTTTAAAAACTGAAATTATTCTCTACATCTTATTTGCTAATGAACTAAAAGTAGAAAATAACAACTTAAGGAATTATATAAATGCACACAAGGTACATGATAGTCACTTGAACTACCAAAGGACTGATGGAAGAAATCATGAAGGAAATACAAACTTTCTCAAACTGATGAAAATAAAACACATACTATCACAAACACTGTCCCTTCTACATATGGAAGCTATAAGCTGATCACAAAGAAATACAAGATAAAATAGCAGTCTCTGCATGACCAGGATGAGTGCGAATGAAGGATGTCATCCATACATTTTTGAGCAGAAGGAATAACTCCTTCAACAGCAAAGAATGATATCAAAGCTAGAAATCATGAATTAAAACTTTCAAAATGTCAAGTGAAAATGATATTGAAGCTCTGGCAGAAACCAATGACATATAACTAAGATGGTAGAAATGCCAATGATGTAATCCGATCGTCACAGTGTACTTGTGTCTAACTCTTACCCTATACACTATATGCATGTTCACCTGCTACTTATCAGTTAAAAGGGTATTTTTAAAAGCTTGACCAGGTCAACAGTGTGTAACATGTTACACACTTATACAAATTGGTACAAAGTTTACACCACATTCTTCAATGAGAGCATGCAGAAACACAATGACATTCTGTATTGCAATTGTCTGCACCATAAGCTTTCCACATTTATCTGCACTTTTCTATGTGTTTCTATATGTTCAAGATTTCATATATTGGTATTATAATAAAGGTATTTTATATACATATATACCTATTATAAATGTAGATTCAGGATATCTACCAATCCATCTATCTCACTGTGTATCTATTTTATGGGTTCATTTATCACTCACCTTCTCTTTGAAGTTCCCACCTCAAATACTGTTAACAATCCAGGTACAAGAGTATTTGACTGCTAGTCTATACACTCTTGTTCTAATTACTTTGAAGCTTATATATGGCTCATGGAATTTCATTCCAGTGTAAATCAGTTTTTTTTTAAACTTTGTTATTTTTCAGTAGAGGTTGATCCAAAGAAACAGTTTTAATTTAAGCTTTTGGTTCTTGAATCCACAAATACATAACAGCAGAGTGTTTAGCTTCTCCCAGTTCAAATCTTTGATCTGGGTTAAAAAAAATCCCTTCTATTCTTGGTAGCTCCCTGCTGTATTAATCCCTGCACACACTTTTTACATTTAGCATCCTAAGAGTCTGACTCACTTTAACATAAAATAGAGGAACTATAAGCCAGAGGTAGCGAACCTCAAAAAAAACACTGCAGGGTTTCAAATAAGAACCATTCACTCATGTGGCAGAGCTCTATATTAATACAGATTTGGGGATCAGCTTCACATAGTGACAGAGCCTGGGATAACCAAGGACACATGCATCATTTCTGCTATGCAATGCTCAGGTTGTACTACTCCGTATCTAACACTTCCTCCTCTGTGATCCCAACAGGATCCCCTCTCCTTTGGCTCAATCCATTAGAGACTCTTAAATAGAAAATTTGGTATTTCCTAAGAGATTGTCTGATATTAAGAGTAAAAAAAAAGACTGACTACAATAGCTTACTGCTAATGATCTTTCCCTTTCTGACTCCACTTGAGATATAGAAATCACCTGCAGAACTCACGGTGGAAACATCTAAATAGACATACTGTAATCTCAAGGTCCTTCAAAGGATAACTTTACAAATTCAATCTTCTTTCATTAGGTAGTACTGAAGCTGGATGACAGGGCATTCTCTCTGATGGCTAGGCAAGGGCTTGAGCACCTGAGCTATATGGCCTGAGTCCTTTTGTGCTATAGCACACACACAAAAAAAAGGTCTTCGTTTTATTCCTGGAAGTGACTTCACAACATATCTGATTACCTATGTCGCTGATGAGGAATTGGAGAAGTACAGATGTGGGCTCCAAAGATTAAGCAAATTGTTATTGAGATCCTCACCTGAACCTACCTTTCCATACAAATGAGTGGTATGGATTGGGAATGGACATATTTGGTCTAGGAAAATATCAAAACTACTGAACATTTATGTTCCATGTTTGCTATTAAACTAAAGTGTTAAGCTTTTTGTGTCTTCCCCATAAGTGCAATCAGTATGTGTTTTGATTACAAATCCCTTCTACCTTATTTAAGTTCCTTATTCTCCAGACCTTGAGCCTGCTTCGTATGTCCGGCATCATAAATATCTATCTTGCTCTAACATACCATCAGGCCTAAGGTAGGGTCTCTTTTCGGTGTTACAGACTTGAGATGAGTGGCAAAGTTAGGCATAAGGACATTGAACACTAGCTTCACACAGTAATAGGATTCTGCATTATAAGGGACACATGCATGAGCTTGATCTTTTTATGCACAGGGTTCTGCTGTTCACCATCCTCTATTTCTCTTACTTTCTCATTTCTGTAAACAGGATCCTCTCCTTTGGCCCGATCCACTGTAGACTCAAATGTAGAAAATGTGATCTTTTCCTCTAAGTACCGTGTGCTAACTGATTGTACCACTGGAGCTCCAAAACCTGATCTTTTCTAAAGGAATACGTTACTATAATGACCAATGTAGAAGAAACGTACTTCCCCTGACCTGTTTCTTTCTTATCCTCATTGATCTAATGACAATATATCTATCTGTGAAAACATTTAGTTAGGTACACATCCAAGATATGTGTAATGTCAAGGGATTATTTCATAAATCTCAACCTTTCTCTCCTTTTGCTCCTAGTCTGAGTTCTTTTGTTTATATATTTATTTCGTCTTCCTTCCCCTTGTTTTAGTCCTTCCTTCTTTTTTATCCTTCCTTTCTTTCATTCACACCATTATTCTTTTTCTACTTCTTTTCTTTTTTCTTTCCTTCTCTTTTCCTCCTCCTCCCCTCCTCTCTTCCTTCCTTCTTTGCCTTCTTTCTGTTTTGTGACAGGGTTACTCTGCTTTGATTATAGCATCCTTGTTTAATAGTAGGGTATGCTACCACAACAACATGACCTCATTTTTGGTGATGCTCTAGGAATGTTTTGCCCAGGGTAATTTTCTACTATCTGAAATCTCAGACTTGCACAACTCCTAATTTTTTTTAGATAAGTATGTCTGTGTTGAGTGTATATCTGTATTTCAACTCACATTCTATCTGACTCTAGAAACATACATATATTAAGCATGTGTCTGTAAACATATATACATATAAGAACATATATGTATGTTTACTTGTCATATTGGTTTTCATACTCACGATTGACTTGTGGTTCCAACATGAGGAACTTCAGAAGTGTTCACACTAAGAGAAAACATATAATCAGACATTACACACAGCTTTAGCACACATCTAAGGTCAATGAACTAGACATTAGACATGAACACATTGGGCTTTAGCTACTCATGTTCACATTTGCATCTGTACTTAGTTAATCATTTATTACAATTGCATCTTTAAATGACAATAACACATATTCTAATGTCTGTGAAGTTAGTCAACATTTCACACTTGGAATAGTTCTCTGGTACTACCACAGACATTACACTGGGCACTGATTTCCCATTGGACTACATCAACAGGTTGTACATATGAGAACTCCATGTTACCAATTCTACATCGGTACATTCTACAACTTTTACATTCATTCCTCTACTGTTTTTACTGCCTGGTCACATGGGGTAAGTCCACAGACCAAATAGGAAAAAGGGAAGAGATTCAATCCTAATCGATACAACCACAAAACAATAAAGATGAACAAGAAAGGAACAAAGGACACATGAAAAAAACACGAAAAAAGAGAAAAATGTGAGGAATGTGTCTTTATTGAACAATCACATGCTGAACCTTATGATGATACAAACTCTTTAATGGGTTTGAATTAAAAAGTATGACACAATGATACACTTCTTACTAGACATTTCACCTGAGAAAACTGAGAAAGACTGAAATTGAAGCGATGGAAGAATATTTTCTCTACAACCTGAATCAAATCATCGTGCTATACAAGAAAAAAAAAAGATTCTGTAACACAAAACTAGAAAATGATACAAAGAAAGATAGAATATTATCAAAGACCTGTCAATTTGAAATAATATTTGTAAATATATAGGCCCTTCACTGCAGGACAATACTACTCCATAAAGACAACATCACTCAGTGTAAATGGAAATATCAGCACAATAAAAGTTGGCACTTTCACTACCCACAGGTATCAAGGAAGGATCATTCCCTTAGTCAATAACCAACACATCACAGTATTCTGTAAGCTAAATCTGTCTAATAGACATTTAAGGGTTGGGAGATGAAGATGGCAGAGGAGAGTCTGGGGGCTAAGTAAGCTCTCCCATAGAAACCCGTATTAGTATTCCAGTGGAAAATCGAAAGCTAGAGAGACACACCAAGTATGTTATAGTACAGAGTTTGGCAAGCTAGGAAAAACTCAGGCAGCTTACTTAGGGAGACAGATTGGAGCAACCCCAGTCCCATGCCACAGCAGAGGTGGCGGCTGCCACTGGCTGCTATATTCAACACAGAGAGCTCAGAACAAAGGCGCCAGAGTGGATGCTACTCACCACCAGCAAGAACCGACAAGGAGTGGAAATTTTCATTTGGCTGACTGTGGATGTGGACTACAACATTAAGACATCCTCATTACTTCTCTCGGAGCAGCAGCAGGAAAGTTGCCCCTCCCCTACCACAGGAGAAAAACTCCATCTTTGATACTGACACAGACCCAGGCAGAGCAGCTAGCTTGATTTGGCCTGTGTGGGACAGACTCTCCTTAGTGTGTAAACAGAGCCAGAGGCTACCTACCCAGCTCCTGCACAGGAAGCAACTACAACCCTTGAGCAATTGAAAACTTGGTACACTAAATCCTGAGATTGGCCCCAGGCTCAGCTGAGTCTATCTGGAGCTAGCCCATCAGAGTAAAGCTGATAGGCCACAGCCCAACCTACAACCTAGCACCCCTCACAGCAACTAGAAGCTAGAGGAAACAACCTCCTCGCTTTTTAGTGATACTTAAAGTAGATCACTGCCCCACTGAACTAGCCTGGGAGGGGGGACATAAACTCCCTGGTGAGGCAGAGCTTCCTTCAGCCTGCTCAAACAGTCTGAGTTAAGAAACCAAGCAAGCCACAGGAAAACAAAACACAAGCAAACCAGAGACCCCAGCACCAAGAGACTGGCTATGGACACAGGGGAGACACAAGAACCGCCCCTGTCTTTCCCCCATTTTTTTTTGGAAGAATTTTGTTCTAAACTGTTGTCTATTTTTCTCATTTTTAATTTAGGTTTGTTTTTTGTTTTTGCTGTTGTTTCTTTTTAAAAATATTCTCTTTATACTCTTTTCCCTTTTGGTCCTTTGAGGTTTTTGTTTTTGTTGTTGATTTGCATTACTTATTTGCTGTTCTGTTCATCCCCAGATAGGTACTTGTCTTTATTAGACCTTATCCTTCACTGTGTGCATACTTAATTCATATATTGATTACTCAATTTACAAACTCCCAGCCTCAAGTCCATTAATTATAGAATTATTTCTTTATACTTACATAATTTTTTAAGTAGTTCATTTTAATTTTTTTATTTTTATCATTTCTTTTTCTTTATCTCTCTTCTCCTTTCCTGCTATCCCTGCCCTTTCTCTGAATCGCACTCTCACTTTGCCTCCATACATTCCTCCAATCTTAATTTCTCCTCACAATTCTCCCTAAACCTATTAATTTCTGGTCTGCTTATGCTTTTTTTTTAAATCCATTGATCCATATCTGTTTCTTGTTGAACTAGATTGTATCTGTACCCATTTTGACTAGATCAAACAATCTGTGTAACTACAGGTTGATGCTTGCCTTAAAATAGTGTTCTAGATCAGAATCAGTTTGGCTATCATACCCAAATGAGCAGAACAAGCAGAAACACAAGAAAAATGGCAAGTCCAGGTATTTCAATTCGCACTCATGACAAGCAGACAACAGAGCAATCAATGAATAACCCAGAGGAGAGTTCCCATAATGCTCTACAAACAATTCTGATAAACATGCTGAAACATGCTGAAAGCCTGCGAAGGTCTCACTGTGAGCATGATAAGGAAATGCATGAGCGTGATGAGGCAAACCAAAGATTGATACAGGAATATCGTGAGCATGATGAGGCTAATTTAAGATTAATAGAGGAATTGCATGAGTGGGATGAGAATAGACAAAGAATAATTGAGGCATTCATGGAATCCACAAACAGAGAGCTGGGGCAAGCTAGGGAGGCCACAAAAGGATGCTGAATGAAGCCCAGCAGAAGGAAAGAGTCCATAACCAATCAACTAAGGGATTTGAGAAAAAACACCGAAAACCAAATTAAGGAAATAAGGAAGTCCACACAAGATCTAAAACAAAGCTTCAACAAAGAATTTGAAGCTATCAAATCTGACCAATTAAAAGAAATAAAAAACAAAGTAGAGCCAGGCGTCAGTGGCTCACGCCTAGAGCTACTCAGGAGGCTGAGATCTGAAGATCATGGTTCAAATCTAGCCCAGGCAGGAAAGTCCGTGAGACTCTTATCTCCAATAAACCACTAGAAAACTGGAAGTGGTGTTGTGGCTCAAGCGGAAGAGTGCTCACCTTGAGCTGAAGAGCTGAGGGACAGGGCCCAAGCCGAGTTCAAGCCCCATGACCAAAAAAAAAAAAAGTAGAAAGTCTTGACAGTAGGTTAAACCATGAAGAAGATCAAATCTCTGGGATTGAAGACAGCCTAGATATTATATATAACAGACAACTATTCAAGACAAATCCAACAAATATGATGGATCTATTCAACATTTAGAAGACACCATCACACAGCCTAGTTTGAGGATAATGGGTGTACAGCAGCACCTAGAGGCAGAAGTTAATGGTCTAGGAAATTTGTTTAACAGGATCCTAGCAGAGAACTTCCCAAACATGAAAAAAGATGGGCTATTCAGATACAAGAAGCTTTTAGAACCCCAAATAGACCAGACCAGAACAGGACATCCCACAGTCACATTGTAATCACACAGGATCAATTCAGACCAAAGAAAGGATCCTTAAAGCTGTCAAGGAGAAAAGATCAATCACTTATAAAGGGAAACCAATTAGAGTCACCTCAGATTTCTCAGCAGAGACAATTAAAGCAAGAAGAGCCTGGAATGATGGATGCCATGCCCTAAAGACAAACAACTGTCAACCAAGAATACTGTATATCCAGGTCAAATAAAAACCTTCCACAACAAAGAAAAAGTTAAACAATATATCTCCACCAAACCAGCCCTACAAAAGATACTTAAAGATGTCCTACACATAGAAAACTAACAAGAGGACGATAAAGTCCAAGAAATAGCCCCAAACAGAGAATCTAAGAAGAACCTAATTGGCACAGACCCCAAGAAGGTGGATAACATGGCAGGAACTACCAAACACCTCTCAGTCCTAACTCTCAATATTAATGGACTTAACTCTCCAGTTAAGCAACATAGACTATCTAGTTGGATTAAAAAGCAAGATCCTTCTATCTGCTGCCTTCAAGAGACATGCCTTGCCCACAAAAACAAACATATTCTGAAAGTGAAAGGCTGGAATAAAATCTACCAAGCAAACGCCCCCCCTATAAACAGCCAAGAGTTGCAATTCTAATATCAGACAAAATAGATTTCAAATTAAAATTGGCAAGAAGAGATAAAGAAGTTCATTACATTCTAATTAAGGGATCTGTCCTTCAGGAGGATATTACTATTCTAAATATCTATTCACCAAATAATGGAGTACCCAAATGTATTTAACAAACACTACTTTCCCTAAAATCACATATTGATCCAAAGACATCAATTGTTGGGCACTTTAACACATCAATACCCATCTGGATAGATCAATCCAGTAAAAACTCAATAGAGAAACCTCAGACTTAAACAACTGCATAGATCAGCTAGACTTAACAGATATCCACAGAAGATTTTATCCAGCAGCATCAGAATACATATTCTTCTCAGCAACACAAGGAACATTTTCCAAAATAGACATTTTAGGTCACAAAGCAAATTTGTCCAAATACAGAAACATTGAAATTGGTCCTGCATTCTCTCAGACCACAAGGGAATAAAATTAGAATTCAAAACCAAAAGCCACCAAAGAAAATCCTAACAAACAAATCGTTTAACTAGGGATACAGGTGGACCCATTGCAACAATGAGATGTACAAGTCCTTATGTCGAAAAACGAACTTAACAACTTTGGTGGGGGGTGGGGAGAGGGTTGTGTGGGGAGAGGGGAAGTGGATGGGAAGGGTTGAGAAGGGGAAACAAGGAGGCAACAATGCTTGATAAGAAATGTACTCGTTATCTTGCCCATGTAGCTGTAACTCCTCTGTATGGTATTCTCACAATTATAAAATAATAGAAAAAAAAAGAAAACCCATCTGACCCATTTGGATTCATAATTCAAAAGTCTATGCATCCACTTCTGATGTTTGACATTGTAAGAGCTTTCATTTCCTTAACACAAGATCAAGAAACTGAAGGCCTGAAGTAGAAGCTCTGAATAATGTGTTCAAAGTTTGAGTTGATAGCCAGTCTTCATGTGACAGAGTTCTGTATTAGTAAGTGTTTGGGTCACCAGCCTCATATAATGCAGAGCTCCACATAATGATATTATACAAGCACACTGTACTGATCCCTATCTGCCATTCTTCCTTTCAGTTCTAAACAGGACTTTCCTCTTTGATCCAGTCCATTAGAGATTTACAAATAAAAAATCTAATTGTTTTCTAAGGGATTGCCTTTTATTATGAGTAACAAACATACCAACTACAAGAAGCATACTGCTTCTGATATAAAGATAGAAATTATCCATAGATCTATCAGTGACAAAACTTAAGACACAGTTTCAAAAATACTGCAATTCTAAAACCTCCCATGAGGTTTTCAAATCCCAATCCTGTTCCTTTTTCTCCTGGTGTCACCCTGCCTACTTCCAATTAAGTGCTCTAGCATCTAAGCTATGGCCCAAGTCCTGTGTGTTTGTGTGTGCTTAAGTTTCCATGTAAGTATGTATATGTACATATGTACCTATAAATGTACACTTCTGTTGATGTATATATATATGTGTGTGTAATTAACATAAATGACTTCTTCATTCCACATTCTTATAGAAATTGTTCTGCAGCTTATAAACTGTGAGAACCTTATTCCCATATAAATCAGTTGTTTGGAAGCTTGTATATCCCTTTTCCATGCAGTGAATTATTTATAATAGACATATTTGGTATGGTAAAATGTTTACCAACTCAACCTTTCTGTTCAGATGTTTACAACAAATTAAATACAAACATAATTTAAAACTAATTAAAAACAGGCATTTTGTGATTGGGGAGACTGTACTATCAGTATATATCCCTTCTATAATATTTAAGTTTTGGATTTTTTAATCCAAGAACCAATTCCCAAAGTTCATCGTCATATTTTAACACAAGTCCTAGAAACTGCAGGCTTAAGGCAGGGCTTTTGAACAATGTATGCTAGGTTTGAGTTGAGAGTCAGCCGGTTTCTAGCAGAAATCAATGTTATATGAGTAAGGTTACAGAATGACAATTATGCAACCTGATCACCACATTTAATATGCATGTGTCATACTATCACAATACATCCTGTATTTTAACAGGGTATACATTTATCCAAATGGATCAAAAAGATACAGAAGTGCACCCCATGCTACAATGAACATGAAGAAACACTGATAATGATACTGCAGTATCACTATAGGAACTTTCCAAATCCAGATCTCCACTTTCTCTGTGTATTGTGTGTATAAGAATCTCTACATGTATATATATATATAGATGTATATGCATCAATCTATATGCAGAGAAACATACAGAGATTATATGCACATGGATGTGTGCACTTATGTATGGGTATAAATGTGTGTATGTATTTTGTACCTGGTTTTAGCATAAATTACTATTTACCCATCCACTGTTATCCATGTATATTATGGATTCATTTATTTCTCACCTTTTTTTTACATTGGAGATGCAAAGATTTCTCTTAACATTTTACTGTTTTAAGAAATACAAATGCCCTAGTCCAAGATAAGGGCATTTATAATAAATTCAACTTTGCTTGTAGATCGCTCTACTGAAATTTCTGACATTCCAATCCCTGTTTCCTTTCCTCACCTTCACCCATCAGACAGACCTAGTTTGCTGAAGGCTTGCATTTGCAGACACTCAATACTGATGGCCATGTTTGGCTCTGGGTTTGAGGCAGTAGCCTCACCTGACTGCAGAGTTCTAGAAAGTAAGTATACATATTGTCTGCCTCAGCTCGAATCACTGCTGCTGAGGGATCTATGGCTTAGTCTACTGCTATCTTCTCTTTGCTAAAATAGAATAGCTGGCTGCAAAAACTCCTGAAGGTAGATTTTGCAAATCTCTACATCCCTTTATTTTCATTGTTTTATGTTCTGTGAAGGTAGGAGGGGTTTGAGTCTGTATATATGTGTATGTTTAAATATGTACTAAACAATAGTATATGCATGTATATAGATTGCTTTTTCATATATATGCATAGATAGGTTTGTTTTTAAATTAATTTATAAATTACTTTTCTCTGATGGCTCTATCACAGGTGTCTGATATCAGTCTTGGCAAAAGTACCTACAAGTAGATGTCATTCATAAATACAACTTGTGTGAAACCAATAACTACATTTCTTAAATGAGTCAGGTAGTAGTAGATTTTGTTCATGCATCAGTCCTTATTCAAATTTGGCATTTTGTACTAATAATGAGTATTCATATGGTGGTAACAAACATATTAGACTTCTGCAAAAAGAAAGTGATTAGTACAGATTTAAACAGCTATCATCTGTATCACAATGTGGAACTAATTTTTTTTTTTGGGGGTCCAGTTGTGGGGCCTGAACTCTGGGCCTGGGCGCTGTCCTTCAGCTCTTCAGCTCAAGGCTAGCACTCTACCACTTGAGCCACAGCGCCACTTCCGGCTTTATTTTTTCTGCTTATGTTATGCTGAGGAATTGAACCCAGGGCCTCAGGCATGCAAGGCAAGCACTCTACCACTGAGCCACCTTTCTCAGCCCTGGAACAAGTTTTTCTAAGTATAATTACACAGTTGAGGGGCTTATCCCCCCCTACCACTTCAAAGTAGTTCTGGATTAAGCCCCAAGATAACTCCGTAGAACTATGCATATCATGGCTATCTTCCTGTAAATTAGAGGAAGGGGTTGTAAACACATGATAATGACTGGGAACTTGTAGAACCAGCTTCACTTGGTGCTGAAGACTCTGTTCCCTACCTACTTCTGTATCTGTTCCTTGCTCCAAATAGGGTTCTTTTGTCCCCACAATCAATCTACATATTCTCACACAGGCAAAACAAAATGATCCTTAGGTTCTGCTGGGATTTAAACAGCATGTCAAACACATCAAAGGCATGAAATATTTACCTTATGACATGTGTCTGTTTTGTCCAAAGACACCCTAAAATATAGAAAGTTTCATTCATATGATATATGAATTTAGGGTGGAACCAGAGTCAAAGCCTTTGCTCCACTGACAATCTCAATGAACTTCAAAAAATCCAAATCTCAGTCTCCACATTCCTCTACTTATATGAGTATGATCAGTATCAACACAAGAATGGATATTCAAACAGGGCTTCTAGGAAAAATTAATATTTTATACCTGCAAAAGACTCTCATGCAGAAGCTAAGAAAAATATGTATGAAGAAAACATTAACAAATGTTTACTGGCATTTGTTGTGGATTTTAAATTCAAATCACTTCACAGGACTCAACCCTTACGCACCACCTTATTTGCTGCTTCCCATGTTCCCTCGATTCCTTCTTAACACTGATTGTGGTTTCACGTTCCTACTGGTCAGGTAGTGAACAGGAACAGCTTGCTAAAGCAGAACTCCCATCCAATGTGATGGTTGGACTTCTAGAGTAGCAGAGTTCTAGAGAATGAAGCATGGACCCAGGATCAATGATCCCCAATAACCTGGCCTCCACAGAACACTGAAACTAACCAAATGTCTTTTGAAGTCCTCTATAATTTTCTCTACTGTTTCAAAAAAATTATACATTCTGTGTATTGTCATCACATGACAAAATAGTTTATCATTCAGCCAACAAAAGAAAACAACTCACCCAGTGGTCATGAAGTTACCAGAACCAATGACTATATCCGGTATGGTATCAGTATCACTGTGAACAAATGAAAAACAAACAGAAAATTAAGTTGCACTATGTATAAGAAACCATACTTTCCTTACTACACACAGTGCTGACTTTAAATGTAACCATGGCTTTGTGAATGCTAGGCAAGTGATAAACCACTTAAGCTACATCTCTAGCTCTTCTGCCCACACCATGACCTCTCTCAAATACTCAAGTTTGAACTCAGATCACCATACTTGCACTAAGTGCTGAATTTAGAGTCATGCTTTTGTCTGTACTGGCTTACTCAATGATCTCCCTGTTTGGGTTCAGTATAATCGGGGAACCTGGTTCCTGCATGTTAAGTGCTCAATTTAGACTCAAACTTTTGTCTCTACTTGCTTGTTCAATGTTCTCCCTGTTTGTGCTTCCATCATAATCTGAGATGGATGGCATGCTATAGTCTGATATCTATAATCCTATCTACTCAGAGGCTGAGACTGAGGATAGTAATTTGAAACCACCAAGAGTAGGAATGCCTATGAGAGTCCATCTCGAATTAACCAGCAAAATGTTGGACTCAAAGAGTAGTTCAAGAGCAAGAAAGCAAAATAGGCACAAGGCTCGGAGTTTTAGCTGTAACAGACAGACAGACACACACACACACATATGCAGACACAAGTTAATAATTGTCATTTGGAAGGTACTTTGCTCATAAAAATCTTACTATAGTCAATCAAAACATATACTATTCAATCTCATAGGCTCTTATACAAAGGCTGATAGCTTTCTAACGGTTTTCTTCTGTGCTCACTAAAAAAGCAAGGAGTTTGTTTTCTGATTGGATTCTCATTCCTTCACCTAACTGAAAAAAGAGAGGAATATTGCAGATATAAGATACACTGCCCACCTTTTTTATATAGTTCCCAGAAATTCTGGCTTAATATCTGTGTATCTTTGTATTCATGCATGCATGTATGTATGTTTGTATACACACATATATGCACACACATATACATACCTGTATGCATGTGATTTTTGCTGACATCTTCCAGTCTGAGCTCTATTGGTTCATTTATATCCACATTAAACAATTAAGCAATTATATTATGCAAAATCAAATATGAGGTAAATTCCTACGCTTACTTCTTCACTCGTTAGCTACAATTCTCCCAAAATTAATAAACTGGTAGGACTTGAAAGTTTTATATGCCTAGTTATAAGAAAAGGTGTATTTCTGGTAATCTTGAGAAATGAAACAAAGTATCTAGGGCAAAGTACATGTACACATCTGCAAAAGAAATGCTTCACTGCAGATTTAAGACTATTTCTTTCCTAGGCCAGGTGCTTGTAGCTCAAACATATAATCATAGCTGATTCGGAGGCTGAGAAACGAGGGTCTCAGTTTGAAGTCAGCCCAGGGAGGCAAGTCCCTGAGACACACACACACACACACACACACACACACACACACACACACACACACACACACACACACACACACACACACACACACACACACACACACACACACACACACACACACACACACACACACACACACACACACACGAGTCCTGGGGTTAGAGTCCTGGACATTGTCCCTGAGTTTCTTTTGCTGCAGGCTAGATTTCTACCTCTTGAGCCACAAAGCTTTTTTCTGAATAGTTTATTGGAAACAAGAGACTCCTGTACTTTTCTGCCTGGGCTGACTAGCAATCATAACTCTCAGATCACAGACTCCTGAGAAGCTATGATTACAGGCATGAGCTACTAGCAACCAGTTCCTAAGACTTTTATTTCCTACAAACTATGCAGAAAACAACAGAAGTAGACCTGTGTCTCAAAGGGTAAGGCACTAGGCCTTGAGTAAAATACGCTCAAGGTCCACACACCAGCTCTGAGTTCAAGCCTAAAGACTGGAACAAAATGACAATAATAATAACAATGATAGTAATAGTGATGATGATGATGATGATGATGACGACGATGACAATGCAGAGAATTAGAGGATGAGTCCGCAGGTTATACAATTATGGACAATCAGCAAGATAGGTAAAAGAGGTATGAAAAGATTATTTTTACAGGCCAGAAAAAGAGCCAACACCAAAGGCAATTTGACTTAAGACTTCTACCCGCTAGAACTTTGGAATAGCTTGTAAGTGCATGAGCTATTTTGTTTGTGATAATTTGTTACTAAAGTCATCAAACACTTGTACTGTCCATTCAAATGGGGTCTCACACACAGGCTACCTGACAGCTTTCTAGGAGTTTCACTCACTGCTCACTAAAATATCACTAAGGCTATCTTCTGACTGGCTTCTCATTCATTCACAACTTGGAAAAGTGGGAACTTTCCAGACATAAGCGGTAATGCCCAATCTTTTGAGACATCTCCCAGAAATTCTGGCTTAATGCCTCTGTATCTTTATGTACATATATATATACATACATATAAGGAATGCATCTCACCTATCACTAATGTCTTCCAAGATTAGATCTCCTGTTTTAGTATCTTCCAGGCTAAAGGATTAAATTATACACAGTCAAATATCAGGCAAATATATTTACATTTTCTTCCAACTTAGCTACAATTTACTTAAAACTAATAAATTGGAAGTTGAAAGTTTTACATATTTAGTTATATACAAAGGAGTATTTGTCTTTCCTGACTAGGACAAGTATATGTGCTCACAGATATAATCCTAGCCTCTCAGGTGATTGAGATCGAAGGATCATGATTTTCAACCATACTGGACAGAAAATCCATGAGACGCAAGTCTCCAACTAGCTACCAAAAACACTGGAAGTGGAGTTGTGGGTCAGGGACTAGAATGCTAGACTTGAACAAACCACACTCAGACCCTAATCTCAAGCCCAATGACTGGCACATTGAAATAAACAATAATTCGATTCTTATAAACATAAGAAAAGTTTAATGTCCTATTGTTCTTGAAATAATTTTAAAATCAGCTTACTTCACAATAACTCAACCCTCACAATCTAATTTTCTATCTAATGTTCTGCTTCCTATGTCTTCTCTATTCCCTCCTTAATAAAGTAATCTTGGCAGTCTTTCCTGCCTGTCAGATAGGAACAAAGAATAGAAGGCTAGAAGCAGGACTCCCATCTAATGTGATGGTGGGCCTTTCAGGGTAATTGAGTTCTGGAGAATGAAGAATTGGTCTGAGGTAGATGGTTCTCCTATCTACTGAGATCTGCAGAACAGTGGGACTGCCTCTGTGTTTCTGAGAGGAATTCTTACATTCCTCGGATCTTTATGAGTCCCATACATGCATGTTGATACTCTGACTAAGGATTGTGCCTGCCAGTCCTTGAATTCACAGCAGACCATGACCAAGTCTCTTTTGACCTGCTCTATCATTTTCTATTTAGTTGCAAAACTGAATATGACTACATAGAGTTTTTGATAGGTAGTCATGTATTTTGTCGATTGTCATCATACTCCATCCACAAAAATGGTTTACCGTGTGAATGACAAAAGAAAACAACTCACCCAGTAGTATTGTTGACAACGGCCAGTACAGTATCTGAGTCACTGTGAACAAATAAAAAACAAACAGAAAATTAAGTTGCTCTATGTAATAGAAATCATACTTTTTTTAACCAAACTGCTAACTATTGACAGCAAGGTCTGTGCAGATAAAGCAGGTGCTCATTTACTTGAATTATATCTCTAGCTCTTCTGCCCACTACATGACCTCTCTCATATATTGAGGTTTGAACTCAAATCACCATATTTGCACTAAGGGCTCAATTTAGAGTCATGCTTTTTTCTGTACTGGTTTACTCAATGATCTCCTTGTTTGGGTTCAGTACAATCTGGGAACCCTGTTCCTCTAGGTAAGTGCTCAATTTAGACTCACAGTTTTTTCTCTATTTGCTTATTCAATGATCTCCCTGTTTGTGCTGGATGGGCATGCTACTGTCTCACAGCTATAATCCTATCTACTCAGAGACTGAGAGTGAGGATAGTATTTTGAAACCATCTAGAGTAGGAATGCCTATGAGAGTCCATCTCCAATTAACCAGAAAAAGGTTGGACTCAAAGAGTAGTTCATAAGTTCCATCAACCATAACAAGAAAGCAAAATAGGCACAAGGCTCAGAGTTTTGGCCATGACAGACAGACAGACAGACAGACAGACAGACAGACACACACACACACACACACACACACACACACACACACACGCAGACACATGTTAATCATTGTCATTTCAAAGGTACTTTGCTCATAAAATCTTAATACAGTCAATCAAAACATATATTACTCAATCTCAAAGGATCTCATACAAGGCTGATAGCTTTCTAAGGGTTTTCTTCTGTGCTCACTAAAATAGCAAGGAGTTTGTCTTCTGACTCGAATCTCATTCCTTCACCTAACTTGGAATAGAGAGGAATATTACAGATATAAAATATACTGCCCACCTCTTTTATATAGTTCCCAAAATTTCTGGCTTAATATCTGTGTATCTTTGTACTCATATATGTATGTATGTATGTATGTATGTATGTATGTATGTATATATGTATATATACACACATTCATACATATGCATATGCATCTGATTTTTGCTGACATCTTCTACTCTGAGCTCTATTGGTTCATTTATATCCACATTAAACAATTAAGCAATTATATTATGAAAGTCAAAGTTGAGGTAAATTCCTACCCTACGTCTTCACTCGTTAGCTACAATTCTCCTAAAAGTAATAAACTAGTAGAACTTGAACATTTTACATTTGCAATAACTATGTCTGAGTCAAACAGAAAATGTCAGATAAGTTGATGTTAGGCAAATGAACCCCAAGGAAAGTACTTAAATGATTTTTTCTTTCATGCAATTGTTTCTAACATATTTATAAGATGATTTCCTTGTTGCCTTGTATGTCCCTCCCCCACGGTATAACACCTGCTGTCACTGTATTTGATGTTGGTATTATTTGTGGAGGGAAAGGAAAAAACAAATCATTTAAATAGGGATACAGAGGGATTCATTGCAACAATGAGATGTACAAGATGTTATGCCAAAAAACGAACTTTACAACTTTTGGGGGGACAGAGTATCGGGTGTGGTGTGGGGGATGGAAAGGGATGGGAAGGGGAAACAAAGGAGGAAGCAACAGTGCTTGATAAGAAATGTACTCATTATCTTGCCCACGTAACTGTAACTCCTCTGTATGGTATTTTCACAATTTTAAAAAATGTAAAAAAAGAAAAAGGGTATTTTTGGTTATCTTGAGAAACAAGGTGTCTAGGGCAAAGTACATGTACACATCTGCAAAAGAATGTTTTAAATCTGCTTCATGGCAGATTTAAGACTATTTCTTTCCTACACCAGGTGCTTGTAGCTCAAACATATAATCATAGCTGATCAGGAGGCTGAGAAACAAGGGTCTAAATTTCCAGTCAGCCCAGGGAGGCAGTTCCTGAGCCTTTTGTGTTTTCATGGGTGCGTACGTGGGTGCTTATGTCCATGAGACTCATGTCTCCAACTAGCTACCAAACACACTGGAAGTGGAGTTGTGGGCCAGGGACTAGAGTGCTAGACTTGAGCAAACCACACTCACGAACATGGCTCAAACCCTAATCTCAAGCCCTATGACTGGCACATTGAAAAAAACAGTAATTCTATTCTTATAAACATAAGAAAAGTTTAATGTCATATTGTTGTTGAACTAATTTTAAATTCAGCTTACTTCACAATAACTCAACCCTCACAATCTAATTTTCTATCTAATTTTCTACTTCCTATATCTTCTCTATTCCCTCCTTAATAAAGTAACCATGGCAGTCTTTCCTGCCTATCAGGTAAGAACATAAGGCTAGAAGCAGGACTCCCATTCAATGTGATAGTGGGCCTTTCAGAGTAATTGAGATCTGGAGAATGAAGAATTGGTCTGAGGTAGATGATTCTCCTATCTACTGAGATCTGCAGAACAGTGGGACTGCCTCTGTGTTTCTGAGAGGAATTCTTACATTCCTCGAATCTTTATGAGTCCCATACATGCATGTTGATACTCTGACAGGATTGTGCCTGCCAGTCCTTGAATTCACAGCAGACCATGACCAAGTCTCTTTTGACCTGCTCTATCATTTTCTATTTAGTTGCAAAACTGAATATTACTACATAGAGTTTTTGATAGGTCATCATGTATTTTTTGATTGTCATCATACTCCAAAAAAAAAATGGTTTACCATGTGAATGACAAAAGAAAACAACTCACCCAGTAGTTGTGTTGTTACCAGAACTGATGACAATGTCTAGTAAATCTGTGTCACTGTGAACAAATGAAAAACAGAAAATTAAGTTGCACTATGTATAAGAAACCAAAAATTTTTTTTAACCAAAGTGCTGACTACTGACACCAAAGAATTTACAGACTAAGCAGATGCTCAGTGACTTGAGCTACATCGCCAATTCTTTTGCCTGTACTACTCAGTCTCTCAAATACTGAGGTTAAACTCACAACCTTATATTTAAGTGCTCAATTTAGAGTCACACTATTCTCTATGCTGTGTTTTTCAATTATCTTCTTGTTTGTTCTTTTATCATTATCTGCTAGAGATAGTTATGCCACTTTCTCACATTTATAATCCTATCTACTCAAGAGGCTGATGACAGAGGATAACAATTTGAAGCCACTGAGATTAGGTATATGTTGGGTGCAACATTTCTAGTTAACCAGTTAAGTGCTGAGCTGAAAGTATAGTGCTCAATTAACAAATCAGCCATAAATAAGAAAGCAGAATAGGTATAATATTCTAAGTTTTTTTGGGGGGGTCCAGTTGTAGGGCCTGAACTCTAGGCCTGGGCACTGTCCCTCACAGCTCTTCAGCTCAAGGCTAGCACTCTACCACTTGAGCCACAGTGCCACTTCCAGCTTTTTTCTTTTTCCTTTGTGTGCTGAGGAATCGAACCCAAGGCCTCATGTATGCAAAGCAAGCACTTTACCACTGAGCCACCTTCCCAGCCCCTAATTTTCTAAGTTTTATAAGTAACAACACACACACACACACACACACACACACACGCACGCACAAACATGCACACACACCCTAATCTTTGTCTTGTGGCAGAAGATATTTTATGGAAGTGCAGTCACAACACATTAAAGTAGTCACAAACCTGTCATAGTTCCAGCGATTAAGCCCTTTATCCAGCATTAATCATGTCCTTACTCTATTCATAGTGTCAGAAACTTTAAAATCACGCTTAAAAAAAATTAGAATTCAAAGAAGTTCACGTTCATAATAAAGTAGAGCTTGGCTCTGGTAACCCACACATATAATCCTAGCTAGTCAATAAATTAGATCTGAGGATCATGGTTTGAAGCCAGCCCAAAAAAGAAAGTTCCTGAGATTCTGATCTCCAACAAACTACTCAGAAATTCAAAAATTGACCTATGGCTCAAGGGGTAGAGCACTCTCCTTGAGCGCAACAACTCAAGAGTTGGTGCCCAAGATCTGAATTCAAGCCACAGGACCTGAGCTGAATAAATTAATAATTAAATAAATAGATAAGGCAGAGACCTAGAGGATGAGTATATATGTCATTAAATTGTCAACAAATAGCAGTTAGGGGGAAAGGGTGCAGAAAGATTCTTTATACCCTGTTATGAGACTTCTATTCCTAGGACTATGAGATAAATTGTGAATGCATGACATATTTGGTTTGTAGAAACTGATTACTACTGTCATAGAAAATGTATACTACCTTATATAGACTATCTAATTGCATTCTAAGAGTTTTCTTCAGAGTTCACTGAAAAAGCACAATGTTTTTCTTCTTGCTGGGTTCTTATTTTTTTGCATAACTGAGAAATGGGAGGAATGTAATAGACACAACTTGAATAACTAACCACTTCATATAGTTTCCATAATAACTAGCTTAATACCTCTATATCTTTAGTTACATATGCATCTCACCTTTTGTTAACATGTTTCGAGATTATCTCTTGTGGTTCAGTCTTTTCCGGGCTAAAGGGTTAAGTTATACACAGTCAAACACCAAGTGAATTCATAAATTTACTTTTTCATTCAAGTTAGCTACAATTAAGCCAAAACTAATAAATTGGTACAACGTCAAATTTTACATATTTAGTTACATGAAGAGCAGTATTTCTATCTTTCCCTACAAATGAGGCTTCTGGGGAAAATTACAAGAGTAAAGCTGGCTTAAACAGGTTGCATTCATGATTTAAAAATAATTTTGTCCTAGGCAAGTGCCTGTGCTTCAGGGTTATAATTCTAGCTGCTCAAGCAGCTGAATTCTGAGGATCACTTGTAACCACCATGGACCAAAAAGTCCATGAGACTCATATCTCCAATTAACTACCAAAAAAAACTGAATTTGGGCCTTTGGATCAAGTGGTAGTCTTGAGCACATAAAGCTCAGGGTCAGAGCTGAGGCCCTGACCCCCAGCTTAAAAATGGGAACAAAAATAAATAAGAAACAAGTGAATTTTCTATCATAGAACACATTAAAAAAACTTAATTCTCTGTTACTGTGGACTAATTTAAAATATTCTGCTTCCCATGTCCTCCCCATTCCCTCTTTAATTACATGAATTAAGGCTGACTTTTGTGCCTATCAGATAGGGATACCAGGCTAGAAGCATGACTCCCATCTAATGTGATGGTGGGTGGGCCTTTAAGGTTACTGAGTCCTAGCGAATGACGCATTGGTCCAGGGTTGATGAGTTCCATTCTCCTGGGTTCTACAGAAAACTGGGACTACCTGCTTGATTCTGAGAGGGATTCTCACCTCCCTTGGCTCTTCATGAGCTGCATGCATGCAGCTACTTTGATACTCTTAAGGATTGTGACTGCCAAAAGAGACCAAGTCTCTTTTGACCTGCTTTATCATTTTCTATTGAATTTCAAAAATGAAAATTATTCTATACAGTTTTTGATAGGTCCTCACGTATTCTGTCGATTGTCATCATATTTCAAAATGGTTTACCATACAGATGACAAAAGAAAACAACTCACCAAGTAATGTCATTTTCATTGGAACTGATGACAACCTCTGTAAGTATGTTGTCATCACTGTGAACAAATGAGAAACAAACAGAAAATTAAGTTGGACAGTGTCGATGAAATCACACTCTTTTACTATAGTGCTGACTACTGAAAACATGGCCTGAGCATGCTCGGCAGTTTTAAGTATGCTCAGTCTCTTGAGCTAAACCTCCAGCTCTTCTATTCCTAAACCACCTCTCTCAAGTACTTAGTCTGAACTCAGAGCCCTGTGATTGCTAGCTAGGTGCTCAATTTCGAGTCATACCTTTTCTCTGCTGGCTTACTCAGTGTTTGTGCTTTCAACATAATCTGGGATGGCTGGGCATGACTCTGTCTCCCATCTATAACCCTACATACTCAGAGGCTGAGAACAAAGGAAAATAATTTGAAGCTACCCAATTTGGGATATCTTAGAGAGTTCATCTGCAACTAACGAGCAAAATGCTGCATTGAAAAAGGGTTAAAAAATTAACACATCAGCCATTAATAATAAAGCAGAATCGGTACAAGGCTTGGCTTTGAACTTTAGGCCTAACAACAAAAAATACAAACATACCCTAATCTGCAACATGATTTTACTAGGAAATCCAGTCACCACACATTCAAGCAGATACAATCGTGTCACAAAGCAAGGGATTGAGCCCTTTTTCAAAAGTAAGCCACATCTTTACCCTGTTCCTGCTGTCTGGAAACACTGGAATCAGATTTATAAGAAATTATCTTTCTTGGTCTAGAAAAAAATATCTTCTACAAAATAAGGCAGACTTATAGGGTGAATATACACATTATAGAATTGTGGACAAACAGCAAAATAGGGGGAAAGGGTCTAGAAAATTCTTTAAAGGCCTGATAAAGAGCCTGCAGGCACTTTTATCTGACACTTCTATCCTCTAGAGCTGTGTGCAACTTCGTTTTTGCTTTTGCTAGTGGTCTATGCTTGAACTCGGGGTCTGGGGCTTTTCTTGAGCTTTTTTGCTGGAGGCTAATGCTCTACCACTTACCCACAGAAACCAGTGGTTTTTAAGGAAATCTGTCTGTCATCAAGTCCCAATTCCTTTTACAACTCATATTATTTTAAAGTCAACTTACGTTTTTTCAGTCTCTGGATACGTTCTAGTATCTGTTGTAGCATGTACAACTCTGCTACAAAGTAAAAGACACAAAAAAGCAGTCAGACATTTTGGAGGGCAGTGAGACCCTTGGTACTGTAGGATTTCAGGATAGAAAAGTAAAAAAGAAAAACAAAACAAAACAAATACAAACAAGGAATTTTGACAGAGCTAAAGAAACAACTCCAGAGCACAGAACTGAACCCTGAAACAATCTGATAGGTGCCCTTATAGGGGTGTGTGTTTGTGTGTGTGTGTAGGAAAGAGGAAGAAGGAAAAAAGGTAAATTTAGAATTCATGAGTCTCCTCTTCTTCTTCCTTATTTTGTGTACCATTCAGGCTAGCCTGCAATCCATTTGGTAAACGAAACACTGGGTAAGTCAGAAATGAAGGGATGGTTTCAGGTAATAGTTTATGAACAAAACCAAAAGTAAAAACACTAGCACAAATATTCTAATACCATGGACTAGTTCCTATTGAGTCTTTTTTTTTGAGGGGAGGGTCTGGTCGTGGGGCCTGAACTCTGGGCCTGGGTGCTGTCCCTCAGCTCTTCAGCTCAAGGCTAGCGCTCTACCACTTGAGCCACAGCGCGCCACTTCCGGCTTTTTTCTTTTAGCTTATGTGGTGCTGAGGAATCGAACCCAGGGCCTCATGCATGCAAGGCAAGCGCTCTACCACTGAGCCACCTTCCCAGCCCCTCTATTGAGTCTTGTGTAAGAAAAACAGTAAACAGGTCAAGAGTGGTCTAAATTATGGTACGGTATGGGATAGGATTTGGTATGGATTAAAGGAAGAGTTCAATTGTAGAGCACTTTATGAAACACTTATGAAGTAATCTCCTGGGTTCAAGCCCTCAAAACATTGTGAAAAGAAAAATTAGTTTATTGGAATGATTTTTTTCTTTTCTATGAATTCATTTTTAAAGGATATTTTGTTTAGACTATAAACAATCAAAATTTAGCTCAGTGGAAGAACATGAAAAGGACCCTGAGTTTGATCCTCAGCACTGGGAAAAAGAAAAAAGCTAAAAAGACAATTACACATACAAAATAATAATAATAATAATACTGGTACTAGTAGTAGTAGTAGTGGTAGTAGTAATAGTAACAAAAAAGACTGAATTTAACTAAAACAAAGTCATCTCTACATAGCTGCTGCTTGCCACCAGGAGTCCAACATGGAATTGTAACACCAAAAAGTATATAGACTATTAGAAAGAATGTACACTTCAGGTGGTTTCTACTGAGGAAGAAAACTGTCAGATACTGAGCAAACCGCAAATAGTGAACTAGTTGGGGCTCCAAAACAAAGCATCAGACATTTATGGATGCTACAAGAACTCTGAGTATACAATGATCAACCCCTGCGAGAGGTGAAAGTAGTAGTAAAATAGCAGCAGTATATTTTATTTTATATACACATATATATATGGAAATACATATATGTTTATATTTTAAGGCTTTGTAAACCTTTCCCACTTTCCTATAAACCATTCCCACTCTCTTTACCACACTCTTATAAATACCTCCTATGCTCTTAAATACTTTCTACACTCTTTATTTATTTATTTATTTTGCCAGTCCTGGGCTTGAACTCAGGGGATGGGCACTGTCCCTGGGCTTCTTTTGCTCAAAACTAGCACCCAACTCTTAAGCCACAGCGCCCCTTTCTGGCTTTTTCTCTTTATGTGGTACTGAGGACTCAAACCCAGAGCTTCATGTGTGCTAGGCAAGCGCTCTACCACTAGGCCACATGCCCGGAGCCCCACTTTCTACACTCTTAAATTTACATAATTTTATCAGCAAAATCCCATGATATAGCAAAAACTCTGCAATACAGATTTGGATTTTTTTTTTTTTTGGTTAGTCATGGGGCCTGAACTCTAGGCCTGGGCGCCATCCCAGAGTTCTTCAGCTCAAGGCTAGTGCTCTACCACTTGAGCCACAGCGCCACTTCTGGCTTTTTCTGCTTATGTGGTGCTCAGGAATCAAACCCAGGGACTCATGCATGCAAGGCAAGCACTCTACCACTGAGCCACCTTCCAGCCCCCTGGATTTTTTTTAACCCATGATACAATAAAGCTGCAAAAAGGGAACTGCAATATAGTGAGGGAAAACTGCACTCTATGAAGACTGAAAAACTACTTTAGTAAGCTGCTTGGGGGCACAGATACTGTCTTCTCCATGGGACATGAATAAACCAGCAGCTGAAGACAGGATCTGATAGGAATCAACCTTCTTCCAAGGGTACACACCACAGGCTTTATTCAGATTCTTACATCCTGTTTATACAATGTGAGCTACCTTTAAAATACTTTGGCTGAGTCACATCTTTCTTCCGTTTGGATTTTTTTCTGGTGCCAGATACTGGGGCTTCAATTCAATGTCTGGGCACACAAGGCTAGCACTCGATCACTTGGTGTACTCATAACTTCTAGGTTTTTGGTGGTTAATTAAGAGACAAAAATCTGATGGACTTACCTACCTGGGTTGACTTAGAACCACAATCCTGAGATCTCAGCCTCCTGAGTAGTTAGGATTGCAGCCATCCATGCCTATGTTTTCATATTCTATCATACATAATGCTGAATTATAAGGCACTAATATCACTAATAAAAACTAATTTTACCTTCACCATGGTAATGAAGTATGTTTCTGATGTTAATTAAAAAACTGAAGCTCTTGTGGTATCCTTGTGGAACAGATCTAGGCTGAATACCAGTTTCTCATCCCTAACACACTATCCACCTTTATTAGAACAACCAGCCACCCCCAGAGTGACTTAAAAGGGACTGGAACATGGCTATCCCAGTGCTTAAACTTCAGTATATTCTAGAACAGTAAAGGCATAGAACAAGGCCTTTAATCTGTGAACATGTTAAATAACATTTCCATATACTTTATATTTATTAAGAAAAAAGGCATAGCTGTGTTCCTGATTTTACTAAACAAGCCTAGGATTTTTGCTCAAAATTTAGCACATTTGAGTCCTATGACTTACTTGTGACGTCTGATGAATACAAACCAGTAGTACACGGATCTGCAAAAGGATCTGATCATTCTATCATCATACGAATATCTCAAATTCAAATAATCCTAAGAAAAGGAAAGCACATAAGAATTTTATATTCATTATTTCTAAAACAGACTTATAGTATCGCTAAAAATAGGGGGAAAGCCACACATACAAAGTTTTTATGTAGTGCTCAGCATTTCCAAATTTTTGGCCCACAAAATTCTATAGATTTTATCAATTCATTGAGACATACATTCTTCAATTGCCTTTCTTATTTTACTTCCAGATACAGAAAAACTTTTGAATCTTCAAAATATATTAAGTTTAGCTAAAGTACAAGACATTTCACAGATTAATCCAATTGCTACATAGGAGGTCTTAGAAAGTTAAATAAAAAGTTTCACTACATCATGATAACTTATGACTTTTCTATCTAGAAACATTGTGCAGTATAAATCAAAAGCATTAGAGAGAAAGTGGTATGCTCCTCAATATTTCATAGAGTGGATATATGTTATACAAGAAAATTAGAAGTCAACAGGAAATAAAAAGATATTGCCCAACCAGGGGCTGGTGACTCATACCTTTAAACCTAGCTACTTAGCGCTGAGGATCTTGGTTCAAAGCAAGCCAAGATAGGGCAAATCCATGAGACTCCAATTAACCAGGAAAAAAAGCTGAAAGTGGAGATGTGGCTCAAATGTTAAAGCATCAGCCTTGAGTGGAAAAAGTTTTGTAAGAGCTTGAGGATCTCAGTGAAAGCTCTACTATTATACTATTACTTCCCCGCCCAAAAAATTTCCAAATAAATGGCCAAGTTAATAAGTAATAATATAGTGTCTACACTGAGGCCACCAGAAATGTGCTGTAACTTTGTAAACCCTTGACAAGAAAGAAAAATAGAAACAAACAGGAAAATATTCTTTGTAAAATATAAATGGTTTCAGGCTAAAATACTGATTCTGACTTTTGAACCTAGAGCAGACACTTGTAAATTCCATCCCGTCCAGCCATACAGGTCATACACAAAGGTAGAATGCTCAAAGCTCTCAGTCTAGCATCTGGTGCCCCACCGATGTGAACCAGAAGAGGCAAGGCAAAGCAGAAGACCTGTAGCCAGCCCTGCTTCTGCTGTGGTTGATGTGGTTCAAAAGAGGGTGAGGGGCAGCAGGAAATGTTTGGACAAAATGATTGGACTCAGACCATCTCACATCTTTCAATTTATATACAACTGGACATAAAGGAAGATCTAACCCTATTCCAGATCTAGATGGTAGTTGATTCTCCCGCTACCCTTCAGGGTAAGAACTTTCCTGGATTTTTGTTTTGTTTTCAGCATTTTTAATTCCTAATTCCCCCTATTCAAGCTTGCTTGTTAAGACATTTCCTGGGTAGCAACACGGTAGCACTACTTGGCCCAACTAGATTTCACACTCAGGCTAAGTGGGCCCTGGGAGGTACCAGGAAAATCCTCCACTCAAAGTCAACAGAATTCCCAAGTACTCAGGAGCTGATATCTGAAGAGTGAAGTTCAAAGTCAGACCAGGCAGGCAAGTCCACTAGGACTTCAGAGTCCATTAGGATTCTAATCTCCTATGGTAGGGCATCAAAAAGCCAAAAGTGAAGTTGTAGCTCAAGTGGTGGAGTACTATCCTTGAGCAAAAACAGCTAAGGGACAGTGTCAAGGGCTGAGTCCAAGCCCCAGTACTAACAAACACTTCACTCAGCTGACCCCCAAAAACCCCAGCCAGCCTTCTCTCTCCCACATCCCCTCCCGTCAGCCCTCTGTCCTCCACATACCATCCCACAAGCCCTCCCTCAAAAAACTCATTAATTTTATTTTCATTCTATTGGTAGAGATGAGAAGTTGTGCCCAACTGACATATTGGGAAGATAGTAAGGCTACCCTTGCTCAGACCCTCACCCCATGGTCTTTACCTGTTGGGCATTCGCCAACAAATATAAGAGTAAGAATTTTGTTCCCATGGTAACCCCAAACAGAAGACTCTGATCAGCTTGATGTCACTGAAGGAGGAACGGAATGTAGTTCATTTCTAACTACAGAAAATTAAAGACACAGGCCCCTTAAAGACTGGGGGCCCAAGGAGGGGAGTATGTACCAAGGCCAAAGAGCCTAGGATAATAACTTCAGGACATCTACTATCTTGCCCATTTTTTTTTCTCCTGAATCTAATGGAGGGAATTTTTCTGTTAACCCAAACTGATAAAACTAGGAGATCTCTGAAACAAAAGGCTTTATTAAGCTGAGACATATGTTAGCTAAAAATAAAGAGTTGGTACTGGAACAAACTCCCAGAGGGAACATGACAGGTAACAGGAAAATTGTCACCAGATCAACAGAACCAGGGTATTTAACAAAGAAAATTCAGGAAGAATGATAAAATATTACACAGAGCGACATTAGCTACAAATAAAAGGGAAAGGACAACGCAAAGTGGAGAAGTCCTGGATGGGGATCTCCTCTCCTTTTTTCATCCTATGCAGAGTATCTCAGAATTATCATGTATTATGTATTCTGATTGATCTTTTGCCTTTCCCTATAGGTTGGACAGAATGAGCAAGGGCCTGGATGTTTTCTGAACGGTACCTAATCTGGTTCAAATAGGCAAAAGGGACAGAGAGGACTTAGAGAATTTTTTAATGACTATTCTATTGGTGCTGGGGCTTGAACTCAGGGCCTGCGTGCCATCCCTGAGCTCTACCACATGAGCCATGGCTCCACTTCCTGTGGAAAATGTTTTAATTACTCAAGCTATCATTTCACAGAATTGGGAGGAAACAGGGCTGAGTGGTGCCTGAAGCTTCCAATCCTATCTACTTGGGATGCAGAGAGGGAAGATTGTAAATCAAGGTCATCCCGGGAATAAAAAGCTCATGAAACTACATCTCAACCAATCACTGAGTAATATGTTACACACTTGTTATCCTAGCGTCAAGGGAAGCCTGCTGGGAATGAGTAGTGCACATCTATCATACCCAGCAATGTAAGAAAGTAGAAGTAGAAGGAGTACACAAAGCAATGTTGGGCCAGATTAAAAGCAAGTCCTGCTCCCACACACATAAAGAATTGAGAAAAAATAAATAATTGTAAATTAACATTATACCCCTTATTTATGATTGAATGAGTCTGAAAGAGGAAAATAAATGCCAGACAAATAAAACTTGTTAAATGCAGTAGAAATAACTCTGTGGTGATTTTCATATACAACTTACCATAAAAAATCAGCAACACATTGAATGGGCAAATAAACCAGACAGACAAATATATTTCGTAAGAAATACAAACGTGGAGAAATGCCCAAATCCCTTGCCATTGACAAATAAAAACACAGGGAGTTTTCCTGTCTTCAGACAAAATGGCTATCACCAAGAACACAAACGGCAGCAAATACTAGAAAGAATGCACTGAAGATAGGAATATAAATCAGTATAAGATCTAAGGAAATCTGTATGGAGATTTCTCAAAAAACTAACAGGTCTACCACACAATCCAGTGAAAATACTCTTTAGCATGTATCTGAAGGAATGTAAATCAGAATATAAGAGAGGCACCTATAAATTTCTTTGTAGCATTATTTACAATAGCCACGCTATGGAAATAGATGCTTTAGAAACTGTCAAGTGGCTTGAGAAATGTGATATGCACAATGAGAAATGTGAGATGCACAATAGAATAATATTCAGCCATAAAGATGAGTAAAGTTATATTGTTTTTAGCCCAGGTTCAGAAAAGCAAGTCATAATGTTTTCTCTCATATGTGGAAAAACACATATGTAAACAGATAAAGGAGATCATACGCTCAAACATACAACATTTTGTCACTGTGGGGCTGTTGTAGCATTAAGAGGAAGAGGAAAGGAAAATAATGTTGAAAATTACTTGAAAACATTGCATCTGTAACTGAAAATGACATAATGAAATCTCACTAGAATGGGGAAGGGGGGAGTAAGCAAAGGTCATCAATCTGATTAAAGGACACCATGTGTGAAATACCCTGAAGCCTCTAAAAAACTAAAAATAGCACATGTCAGGACACTGCCATACTGTCCTTGGGCATATATATCTGAAGGAATCTAATCAATATACAAGGAAGACACCCACACACCCATGTTTATTGCAGGTCTGTTTGCAATAGACAAATGGCAGAATCAGCGTAGGTGCCTGATAACTGATAGGTAAATATATACCATATAATATTACTCAGTCTTAAAGAAATACTTAACTATGTCATTTACAATAAAATGGAGGGGACTGGAGATCATCATTTTGAGTTAGACAAGCAAAGCTGAAAAAGCCAAATATCATGTTTTCTCTCACTTGTGGAATCGAGACTTTAAAGGCATACATATATATGTATATATACACATACATGGAGCTTATGGGACAGTCTGGGGAAGTAAAAAGGAGAGGAGAATGGAAGGTAAATGATAGCAAATTACACTGAAGCTATGTATGAGGTGGTAATCTCACTGAAGGCTGCTAACAATAGAGGGGTGGGAGATGGGAAAGAGCAAGAAGAGGAGATTCTCATTAAAGTGGAATGCATGTGCATGAGTAATATGGCTATATTACTTGTTATAGTTACTAGACAATACCAAGTTTAAATAGGAACTGCAATTACAATAGCTTCAAATAAAGATTTCCTAGGATAACCCTAAATAAGGACTAAATATTCTTCCTCACAAATATAACATCTCAAAAGAAACATGGATTAAGGCATTAGAAAATGGAAAGGTAGTCTGGAAGAGTTCATACTAATATTAATTAGTCATTGATACTAAGGGGATACCTATACAACAGAATATTATTTGACAATGAAAAGCAATGAAGTATAGATAGATAGATATGTACTTTAAGGTGGGTGAACTTTGAAAATACAAGCCATGTCATATCTACATGAAATGTCCAGAATAAGAACATAGGACAGAGAAAAATACTTCAGTGTTTGTCCTAAAATTCTAGTGGGAAGTCAGTAAGAGAATAAGAGAATGACTAGTATTGAGTATAGAGTTTCTTTCTGGAGTGAAGAAAGATACCTAAAATTATAGAATGGTAATGTTAAGTGGTAGCTTCCCAACTCTGTAAATGCAAATAAAGTGTATTGAATTGTATACCTCAAAAAGAGCGAATTGTAGGTTCTATGAACTGGATCTCAATACATAGGTTGAAAACCCCAGATGTCCCTCTACCTCTAGGAGAGGCAAATATAAACTACATTGCCATCTGAAGGTGCATGGGATGCATGATAGGCCCTCCATGAATGCAGAATTGTTCAATTCCTGAGGCTTTGAAGACACTGGTCTCAGATTCTCTGCGCTGGAACACCGCCAGCCTACAGGTGGAGTTGTCACGATGGCTCCGGAAATGAGGTCCTGAAGTCTGTGGAAGGTGATCCTGGCCCCGGCCTCCTGAGTTGGCTTGTCCTTTCACCTGCGCTCTACACACCTTTCCTGCTTGCTTCATTGAGGACATTAGGAACTTCATGGTCAAGCCCAAATCTTCTGGAAGCCAGTCCTGGCAGAAATGTGGGTCATCTCCACATTCTGGATACAGGTCCTGCAGTGAGAGAACTTGGTTGGTTTCTTGCTCTTCAATAGCAAAAGAGCTGGCACACATGGAATCATGATCCTACTAGACCAGGCCCGATGTTTCTAGAACACTGTGGCTCTTGGGGCTAGATAAGGTTGTGCACCAAAGCTATGGAAAAACGTCAGCAGGGTGACCAGGAAAATCCTCCGCTCTGGCACTAGCGCCTAAAGTGCCTTTTTTTTCACTGCATGGTTTGCATAGCTGGGTGAGGTAGGCACCCTCACGCAGCAAGTCGGGGCCCTCAGCTCCACCACTCGGCCAAGCCCCACAGATCACAGGACTCAAGAGGTAGATAAACAGCAGTAGAGATGACCCAAGGTGTATTGCTCCACCAAGCTCCAATGGAGAGTGCTCCGGGCCTGGCAGCTAAGATTCCCAGGCCGCGGCCTCTGGTCCTGAGGCTTCCCAGGCTGCTTAGAGGCCAGCGGGCTCCACAGATGAGCACAGCTGCAGAGCAACTCGGCAGGTCAAAAGGTCTCCCAGGCTTTCGGGAAGCTCTTTGCAAGGGACCCCACATCTTGCCCCAGGAGCTGGAGACAGAACTAAGTTGGAGATAACCGCTATCAAAGCTCTGTCCAGATACAGGATGACCCATTGTAACAAGGAGATGTACAAGACACTGTGGAAAACAAACTTCACAACTTTGTGGGGGGAGGAAGGGAGGGAGAGATACATGCACAGGATGGAGGGAAGCCATGAGTAGGACACAGAGTAAGTGGGAAACTGAATAACATACAACAAAGAAGCCCATCAGCTCTTCTGGACATAGAAGATAAAGAACTATCCAAAGGCAGCTATGGGAAGGGAGGAATGAGAGGGAAAGAGGGAACAGTCTACACTAAGCAAAAGGAAAGAAATGCAAACATCACCTGATGTGGAAGAAATAATTTGTATTGTCAAAGCTCATAGAATTCACAAACTATATAGACCATGATAATGACAATTTGCCTTGTGAAGTTTAAAATGTGTTTGTGACTTTTTTTTTTTTTTTTTGTCGGTCGTGGGGTTTGAACTCGGGCCTGGGCGCTGTCCCTCAGCTCTTCAGCTCAAGGCTAGCGCTCTACCACTTGAACTACAGCGCCACTTCCGGTTTTCTGGTGGTTTATTGGAGATAGGAGTCTCACGGTCTCTCCTGCCCTGGCTGGCTTTGAACCTCGATCCTCAGATCTCAGCCTCCTGAGTAGCTAGGATTACAGGCGTGAGCCACCAGCGCCCGGCTTGTGTTTGTGACTTTAACTATCACTATTCCAAAATACTGTGAAATATGTGAAATTTATGTAATCACCTAATCTCAATTTTTTAAAAAAGTGAGAGAAGGGATGGGTTAGGAGATATGGGTGACAATGTCGTCAGACACCTTCTATTTATATACTGTTTTGTAGAATGGGAACTTCTTTGTACAACTATTTAAAGATAATAAATATATATATTTTTAAAACACTGTAGAAAACAAACTTTACAACTTTTCAGGGAGTTGGGGGTGGGAAGGGAGGAGTTGGGGAGGTGGGGAGTAAAGGGATGGTAGGAGGAAAACGAAGGAGGGGGTAACAATGCTTGATATGAAATGGACTCATTACCTTGCTCATGTAACTGTAAGCTCTCTGTACACTATCTTTACAATTAAAAAAAATTAAAAAGCTGTCCTTCAGGCCACTCACCAGCGTAAGCTCCGCCCCAGCATAGCACCTGCCTCCTTCTTGGGCCAATCCCGGCAGAGGTCCCTCCCCCAGCACAAGCCTGCCCCAAGCATAGGTTGGTTGTGGCATAGGGCCCGCCCTCAGCATGGGGCCCACCCCTCAGCATAGGCCTGCTCCCAGTATAAGGCCTTCCCCAGCTTGCTCGCAGGTAGGCCCACCCTCAATGTTGCCCCGAGTCCAGCATTGGGACAGGCCCAGCATATGTGTCACCCTCAGCTTAGAGTCCACCCTCAGCCCACCCTCAACATAGGCATTGGATATATACATTCACCCTTGCATTAGTTCCACCCATGATACTGGCCCTGCCCCAGAGTGAGCTCCCAGAATTCCTCCCAGAATTCATTCACACAAATCCCAGGCAAAGCAGGGGGCACACCAGATCTGGAAGACCACAATGACCAGAGGTACCATGTGTGAAACTGCTGGAATGAAGAAAAAGACTACGTCAATCTCCAGAGAGATCATCTCTTTCAAAATAAAAGAAAGGAAAAGGGGGCTGTAATACAAGTCTCATGGAAGGCCTGCTGATGGAAAGCTCTCATCTGATGGCTTTGGGTCTTCTCCCAAGTGGGCCTCCACTCTTTGGCTAGGGGATCACAATTAGTCCTATGTATATGAGACACTGGGTAGTTTACATAGAACGTGATGTAAGCTCCACAGCCACAAAACTTGCTGTGTTTTTGTACAAATTATATAGCTAATAGATGGCAATTGGGTACTTATCACATATGGAATGAATGAAGTGGCAGAATAAATGACTTCCATATGGCCATGGAGCTAATACCACTGGTGTTTTCGCTTGTATGATTTTATTACTACCCATCATTTTAATATGTCCTAAAAGATAAGTCTGAAAGGAGGCAAAGTTTGTATTTGTGTGGAAGGGATGATGAAAAATAGGGTGAATATATTTAAATTATTAATGTTTTGTGGAGAATGAATGTGTGTATATATCTGTGTGTATGTATGTGTGTATGTCTTTTGTAGGAACTGGGCCTCTTGCTTATTTTTTTAATCAGTGGTGCTCTACCATTAATACCACTAGCTCTTTGCACTTAATTGGAGATAAGAGTCTTACTGGTTTGGTCTGCAGAGCTGGCTTTAAACCTCAGTTCTCAGACCTCAGACTCTTAAATACCTAGGATTACAGGTGAAGATATCAGGGTTTTCTTTTTTAATGTCAGTTAATACCAAACCATTCAACAAAATTATTCTTAGGAAGCCAAACCATCTTCTGAATGGAGGAAGAAAGGGTAGAAAATTCAATGTACATTATGTACATTATGAACTAAGGGATCTGAGGGTAGGGATGGGATGGGAAAAGAAGGGGAGACATTCATCAAGATGAATTGCACTCATAACCTGACTTTTAGAGTTGAAACCCCTTCGTACAACTACTTAATAACTAAATAAATAATTTTACAAGTCAGTTAAGTGACAGGTTATTTAATCTTCTACAGGCAGAAAGAAAATGCAGAAGAGATGGCCAATGGGTAGGAGGTAGTATGGAGATCAACAAGGTGAAGATCCTGAAAAATGTTGAAGAATTGGTATCCTGAAGATATAGGCTGGAAAGATGAGACAAAGATCAAAGGGATGGAATATTACTGTGGGATAATAGACTCTGTGTGTGTGTGCGTGCGTGCGCATGTGCACGCACAAGCACCTGTTCTGGGGCATGAAATCAGGGCTGGGGTGCTGTCCTTGAGCTATTTTGCTCAAGGCTAGTGCTCTACTTTCTGAGCTACAGCTCCTTTACAGCCTTTTTATTTGGGTGTCTACTACTTGGAGATAAGAGTCCCATGGACTCTCCTGTCTGGGCTGGCTTTGAACCATGATCCTTAGATCTCAGTAGCAAGTAGACAGTCATGAGCCACCCACACCAGGCTCTAGACCTTCTTTTCTTTTTCATTTTAGAAGACAGAGCTCTTTTAGATTATAAGATCTAGAAGTAGCTATAGTTGAGTTCAAGTATAGCTAAAGATCTAAGATTAAAAAGTCTATTAATTGAGAATCAAGCTTATTGAACCAAACAATATCATAGGTATTGAGTTCTGAGAAATTTTATTTCTCTTCAAGATCTTTACACTGGTACTCATCCCTCCCCCTCCCTCTTTCCCAAGATCTCCACAGAATGTGCCTTTCACACTTAAATATGGGCTTAAGAGCCCGAGAGAGACATGGAAAGGCTCTGCCCTCAGAAGACAAGCAGTAAGGAAAGGATGCAGTGATCTAGGCTTGGCTTTTATTTTGACACCCAGCATTCATTTTCCATTTTGAAAACAGTATCTCTACTGTCCTCTGAGAATAAGGACACTGAAAGTAACTCCCATTCTTCACTCTCAGTTTATGTATAAATATTATATACAGTCTTTCCCACTCTACTACATGCCAGACACAGACATGTGTTCCAAAGCTGGGAAAAGGAAACTTCTATTCCTCCAGCCTTAGTGACCCATGAACAGATGGACTCATGTGACTAAACTGGAGCTAGCCAGACTCTATGAAACTTTTGCATGGACTCTGGTAAATGAAGCACCATATTTTCAGATGCATTTCAAGCTGAGAAGATAATATACTGACCTTGCCAGTAGCCATCATATGAAGCTTCAGAATGAAGCTGGCACAGGAGATAAAACTGACAGGAAACAGGAAGATACCACATGTTGTCTGGCATGGAGCCCTAGAGGAATGCTATTTTCCAAAGCCAGATTACATCTCAACCTCTCAGTGACATGAGTCTACAGTACCCTTTTGTGTTTAGTTGGATTGTATTTTATATTGCTCACATAGAGATCTTTCCTCACAATACTAAGAGCTCTCCATTTCTGGTTCCTGTTTTGAGCTAGCTCACCAAATATCAGTTAATTTCTCTGTATCTTAGCTTCTCTAACTGTCATAGGGAAAGAATAATGCATAGAGGTGTAAGATTAAATAGCGATACATTTTAAGTGTGATTTTTTTCTCTCATAATATTGGAGTGCAGGAAATATCACATCAATGTTTCTGAATTAGAATTATCTCTGTATCTCTGTTGGTGAGAGTGGGAAGACAGCCTGTATCAGGAGTTACTGGAGAATTTCTTTCCCTTTTTAGCATGTTATTTATGCA